TATTATTTTAAGTTTTTAAAGGATTTTTTTAACAGTTGATTTTATTTTAAGTTTTTAAAGGATTTTTTATACAGTTAAACTTTGAGTTCTCTAAACATGATTTCATTTTCAGTTTTTAAAGGATTTGTTTAACAGTTAAACTTTGGGTTCTTTAAACATGATTTTATTTTAAGTTTTTAAAGAATTTTTTTAACAGTTAAACTTTGAGTTCTTTAAACATGATTTTATTTTCAGTTTTTAAAAGAGTTTTTAACAGTTAAACTTTGGGTTCTCTAAACATGATTTTATTTTAAGTTTTTAAAGGATTTTTTAACAATTAAACCTTGAGTTCTTTAAACATGATTTTATTTTAAGTTTTTAAAGGATTTTTTATACATTTAAACTTTGAGTTCTCTTTCAGCAAAACAAAACTAGATCAACTTACAATGGCTTACTATGAAAAATGTAAACAGGAGTTCCTTAAAATTAAACTTTTAAAGGTTTTTTAATAACTTGTTTAATTCCTACTTAAATCTTTTTAAATCAGTCGGTACAAAAAAAAATTTTTTTTATGATTTTTACTAAAAATAATGTTACTATTTTTAATGAAACCAATTTAGCTAGTGTTCGTCATTACCTGAAGCGTGCTTATCACGTTGTTAAGGTCGTAGCCGCCGAACACGTACAGAGCGTCCTCGTCCTCCATGTAAACGGCGGTGTGGGCGGCTCGGGGTGTCATGCCCTCGGCATCGGTGGCCAACCATCGCCAACTGCTACCCGCTGGATGATCGCTCAGATCGCAGAGCCTTCCGCTGAAGCCGCGCGAGCAGTGGCAGATGCTCTTCTGGCAGCGACCTCGTCCTTGGCTTTCGCCACAGCGCTGCGGACAGGCCTCATCCTCGCAGTCGGGGCCCACCCACTCGCCGTGGCACACGCACTGGTGGCCCACGCATTTTCCATGATTGTGGCAGTTGTTCAGACAGTTTGATATGTAGTAGGAGGCGCGAAAGCCATCCAGCACGTAGTTGGTATCGCTGTACATTAGGATTAGCATCTGGGGGGGAGAAGATAAGCAATGAGTTAGAGGCATACAAATATATGGGGAGTAAAGTTCTTTATGAGTGGAGTTGTAGTTTCCCCTGCTTTGAGGAGTTATTTTATCTATCTATAATACTTTTCAGGAGACCCAGCTCAGATTATTCGCTGCTTAATTAGCTATTAGATTTTAATAAAAACAAATGGTAATTGGCAATTCATACTAAAGAGTTGGCGAATATCCAAAGGTGTCACAGGAATTTCTTCTAACCATAATTCCCCCTTAAAAGCAAATCTCGGTACCACAGCAACCACTCCTAAATTAAGTAGACTATTTAAAATAAACATATAGTAGGCATTGAATAAAAATTCCTAAAATCAAGAAAAAAAAAAACGGCCACGGATTTGGGGACAATTGGTTTGGAAACCGTAGGTGTCCTGTGACACCTGTAATCTGTGGAGTTTTTTTTGGGAGTTTAAGAGTATATTCGGTCTGATTTTAGGCACATTTGTGACACCGACCGTTTTGGTTGGTTGGTTAGTAGGGCAAAATGTGCATAGAAACAGCCTGTTTACGATTTTTTTTAATCAATGAGTTTTCTGATTTTCTACATAATCTAGTTGAACCCTTTATAAGTGAATAGGTAAAAGAAAAGGCACTGCTTTCTCCACTAAACGGCTCTAAAAGAAGTGTTATACTCACGCTTCCGCTGCGGGCCACCAATCGCTGGGGCTGCGTCCGCCCGCTGAAGCTGCCCAGCAGGGTCGAGTTGAAGGAGTCGCCGTCGTAGACGTAGATGTAGTCGTAGGAGCACTCGGTGCCCATGCTGTGGAAGGTCAGCGTGATGAACTGGCTGTCGTTGCGCGCCTTGATGAGCCACTCGCAGTGGGAGTCCTGGGTGTAATTGAAGCCGGAGGGCCCGTCGGAGATCTCGCCGTAGGGCTCCGTGAACACCTTGCGGCTGCGATCGCACGGAACCGACGGCGGCGGGTGCGCCTGCTCCGATCGCAGCACCAGCGACCAGAATGTCAAGGTTGCCAGCAACGCGTACATTTTCTGCATTTTAATAGCTCACTTTTTATGCAAATTTTTGGCCATATATCACTGGGTGCCGTTTTGGCTGTTTAGATTCGATCCAGCCAGCGTCCGCTGGCTTCTTCCATTGCACACGTCTAGCCGCTGGGCCCGGGCCACCAGCGCGTCCGGTTTTAGCTGCTGGATATTCGTTATTTCCAATTATTTTCGCGAGAAAATTGTTGAAAAAACTTCGATTTATTTACAGTGCTAATAATCTATCGGGACTCCTTGAATCGAAAATCGATTGCCCGATTTTCAGTAATATGTAATCGGTTGCTGGAATTTTTGAAATATGGTTATACTTTTATTTCAGCTGTTGTTAATTTGGGGTATTCCCTAAGCTGTTAAGCCGTTGGATTTCGATCAGCTGTTCCGTACAAAATTAATCTTCAAAAAGATTACAAACTATAAAATCCCAGTATTACGGAGCGCTTTGTTTACCCTAAAAAAGCAATAATTTTCAACATTTGTACATCATTTCCTGGTTTTGTTTTTATTTTTTTAGTGAACTTTTAACGACTTTGAAATGTTGCACCGAAAACTATATGTATAAATAATATCCTCTTCCCAAAAAGATCTAACGTCGAAAAACATCGACTTTTATCAGCTCTATTTGACGAGCCCTTTGATGCGATAGTTAGGCAGTGTTTCTTCGGTGCAACTGTGAATTCTTTCCCTTGACAGTGAGAATTGGAAATTCACTTCACTGCGAAAAACTTCTTAAACTAAAACAAAAATTTCAAATAACTTAAATTAGAAAATTTTAAAATTCGCATCCGACTTTGTTAGACTATGGTCTAATTTTCTTTTTATTTAAGAAAAACAGGAAAGCAAATTTTAAAATAGTTTTTCTTGTTTATGTTTTAATGATCAACTGCTGTTACGTCAGATGTTATTGGTTGGCGGATGTGCGAAGTTTCTCATTTGGATCATTCCACGTGAAACGTGACAGGCCAATTTGGGTCTAATCTCAGAATTAATCGAAATTTTTTTTTCGATAGAGGATTGAAATATATGGGATGGGTTTTTGTTTTTTTTTATCTCTTACCGTTTATTTTAAAAAAATATTTTTGTAAATTAGCTCCGATTTTTCTTTCAGAAAAATGTTTTTAAAAATGTTTGAATTTGAGTTGGCTGGAGCCATTCCAATGTAAAAAAAACAAGAAAGGAAGCTACCTTCGGCCAGCCGAAGCTTATATACCCTTGTAGATAAAGTAATGCTTACTCGGTGCAGTTCCAGGGATTCCAGATTCAGCGTTTATATTTTAATTTTGTTTATACATAAGTAGTCAAGAATCAAAACGCCTACTTCTTACAAAGTTACAATGAATTTTCTTATATTTGTTTGAATACTCCTATGGGAGCCTTAAGATATAGTGGTCCGATCCGGCTCGCTCCGACATATGTACTACCTGCAATAGAAAGAAGACTTTTGGGAAAGTTTCATCGCGATAGCTTTAAAACTGAGGGACTAGTTCGCATAGAAACGGACAGACGGACAGACGGACATGGCTAGATAGACTCGGCTATTGGTGCTGATCAAGAATATATATACTTTATGCGGTCGGAAACGTCTCGTTCACTGCGTTGCAAACATCTGACTGAAATTATAATACCCTCTACAAGGGTATAAAAAATTCGGAATACAAATTATAATTTACCACAGATGAGGTTCCACTTCTCCTGAAGCGACTTTTAAGGATGGAAGAAAAAGTAGCTGTAGCGGAATTTGGACGCTGTTGCAGAAACGCCTTTTTAACGCGGTGTGAATAGGCTATAACATCGATAGGTCGCGCACAACAGCATTTGACACATATTAATGTATCGATAGTCTGGCAACGTTTTGACAGCACGGGTTCACCTCTACTGAAGTTCCTTCTTTTTCGCTTTTCCTGAAATCAAGATGGTAAGCATTCGTTTTGTTCTTCGAAATCGCCGAACATCCGCGTTAAAAATGGCCGAAACCGAATGGGTCCGTTGCCAAAGCGGGAATTGCAGTGCGGCGTGCTCACGTAGCGGAATATTGAAGACGCCGTGCTCCAAGTGCGTTGCTCGGCTGAAAAAAGAAAAAATAATAAATTCCGGTGTTGGATGATGAATCTCGGTGCTAATAAGTTTCCCCTTCCCGCCCGCAGGTGAACGTACCCAAGCAGCGTCGCACTTTCTGCAAGAAGTGCAAGGTCCACAAGCTGCACAAGGTGACGCAGTACAAGAAGTCCAAGGAGCGCAAGGGTGCCCAGGGCAGGCGTCGTTACGACAGGAAGCAGCAGGGTTTCGGTGGTCAGACCAAGCCCATCTTCAGGAAGAAGGTGAGTTTTGATGACTGGGAGAAGTTCATTAGCCACCAGACTGTCGTAGACCTGGAAACCTATCCAAACCAAATCATGATAGACCAGTATATCAGATTAAAGATACTAAAAACCCGACAGTCTTGGTGGCAAGTGTAGAATCTTAAATGGCGCTTCGTAGAACTAAATCGCTGCGCTCTATGAGCATTATGCCTTTTGGTGGGAAAAAACTGTGCCAGATCAAAAGTGTTGTTGCACCGGTGCGGCCGAGAAGGCAGCGTTGTGCGGCATCCTCGCCCACAGCGCCTCACCTGCAGCTTCAGACAACCCAATAAACTAGAAACCACCTTGTTCTCCTTACTAATCGACGATCTTTTCCCCATTTCAGGCCAAGACCACCAAGAAGATTGTGCTGCGTATGGAATGCACAGAGTGCAAGTACCGCAAGCAGACTCCCCTGAAGCGTTGCAAGCACTTCGAGCTGGGCGGTGACAAGAAGCGCAAGGGACAGATGATCCAGTTCTAGGCTCCTTCTTAAAAACCGATACACCTTTTTGCTAACGAAGTGGTTTTAAGTTGTTTTCGCGCCGTCGCATGGCGGCAAATAAAACAAAATAAACTTGTAGACGTAAGCTTTACAAAATGTTTAATTGAAAAGTGTAGCTTTAATAGCTATATCACAAGGTGGGTTTAGTCCTCAGCCAGCCGCTCACTCACGCATTCCATCAGCCAGGATCAGATTGGGAGTGCTGAAAGGAGACGTATGGTTAATATGGAACTCATGAAGTCTATGGAGTCTTACTCTAGAATACGTGGCTCCAGGCCTTCCGCCTGCATTTTCTGTTTAACCGCCGGCGCTGGTACTCCCACTTGAACCATTTTAAAGAACTTCCTGTAGCGCAGATCCTCGCAAGCACGCACTCCGTCGGATTCAGGCAGGGATTCCTGTTCTGGTTGGCTCTCCGTGGGTGGCAGTTTAGAATCCATTACAGAAGCTGATTCTTTGGGTTCCTCTGCCGGCGCTGAAATACTAGGCGCCTCATCCGCTACATGGTGCTCGGTGGGTATGGACGCCAGCTTCGCCTCCAGGATGATGAGGGCGGCCTCTGTCTTTTGCAGTTGCCGCTCCATCTCCACAAACTTTGTCTCACAGCCCAGGGCAAACTCATTGAGGAAGGTGCAAGTGCTGACGAGGAAGTGGTTGACAAAGGCCAGGATGCGCTTCTGATTCAGCGGCGGTATCTAGAAGAACAACTATATCTATCTATATCTTTAGGAAATTACAAGTTAATTTACCTGTGTTTTATCCACATCGCCCGTAATTGCTAAAGTTGCATCCATAATTTTGTTGTTTTTATCAGCCTTCTATTTTTTTTAGAGCTTTTCAGGGTTGCCAGGTTACTACTGAGTATAAATCATTTAATGCCTAACGCTACTCTGAACTAATAACTCGGTATTTCCCGCTAAACTTAACACAGTTAAGTAAGCGCACAATTTTAAAAGTTACGTTTAGAAAAATTTGTATTTAAATAAAGTTCATGCTAACAACCTTAATAATGTAGATTTCATATATATAAAGATTGACGCGAAATAAATTAAATAATAAAGCTGTTCAATTAAATCAAAAAATTCAATTTCTGTTATGGGGCAGTTTTTATGATTCGAAAGTAAACTATTAAACCCGTTCTACTAAATCTATACCTCATTTATGGGATTCAATACTTTTAATAAAAATAAACTCCCATAATTCAAAAACCTTTTAAACAACATAACAATCATTTTGTTTTAAATATTTTATTTATTTACTTTATTATATCTTAACATGAAATGTGTGAATGGTATTTCTTCGAGTATTATGTACTTTTTCTTCGATTTATTATAAAATTATCGTCCAGTTATTATGCATTTCGGTTTTTACTTTTTATTATATATTTATGTATGTATAAACTTATGTGCTGGGTGTTCCTTTAGGACCTGGGATCTTTTCTATATGCTCAAGTCTACAATGAACTTTTATTTCGACTTAGTTAAGTAATGCTTATCGTGCTCTCCTCGGCAACACTTCTGCGGCTTAGGTATTAGTTGAATGCCAGATCGGATTCTCAATTTTGTATTTGTTACAACTCTCTAGTTTGCGGAGAATTATATTATATAATTTTTATTTGCACATATTGTAGGAGAATATCTTTTCGAATTCCCATTCTTTTTCAAAACAAAACGCATGCGTGCAGCTTGTGTTTAACGGCAATTTACGGCAGTGGATTTGTAACGGTTGGAAACGAAAATGCTTTCATGTTGTGCGGTGTAGTTCGCAGATTTAATAAATCAAAATGCTGCCAGCAGCGAAAACTTTTCCAAAATGAAAAGGCAACAGCTTCTTGGCGTTCAAATAGTCTTTTGGTGTTTCTGTTCTGTACTTTTTAAGTTAAAGTTTTGTTGGATATTTGCCACCGTTGCAAACGAGAGCCAGCTGGTCTACAACGTTCTCATCGCAGTTAAATGGTTCTGTTGGGGAATCTTGAAAATCGAAAGGCAGACGCAAGTCAATCGGCTTCTTTTGTAAAACTTTATTTAAAATAAAAATACATGGTAATAAAAAATCAAAAATTTACAGTTAAAATTAGAAATCAATAGATTTATGTATATGTAAATGTATAAATCTGCTATATAACTGAGTGGTTGCTTGCTGGTCAACCACCTCTATTATTATTACCATTATCATCGGCTCATCAGAGTTTTGGATCACTGGGGGATCCAAAAGGTGATTCGGGTTCTTTAGTGTAACAACTAAGGCGTAAATTAAAATACGTAATTAAAATAATAGAGGATTTGCTTGGTGTACACAGATCGCAATCGTTTTTGATTCTGATTCATCGGTTTCGAATATCAAGTTTTGGGTGTAAAGGTGTGTGGAGAGTGTCGGTGAAAGGCTTCACGTAATAATAATAATAATTGGTAATACTAAAACTAATATTGAGTTGCTCGGCTTTCACGTTCAAGTCACATATCTAAATCTGATCATTCAACGTGGATTTCTTGATTAAAATTACGAGTACGCATCCATGGGTAAGCGAATCTAATTTATATTCAACTACGAAATCCATTGGATCAGCGATTGGCGCCAACATTTTGTTTCATTCGTTTAATACTAGGCATAAATTAAATAAATAGCTTAGCGTACATTTTATAGCTTGCCTGCAATTATTATTTATATCTCATCTTCACATGGTCGTGGTTCATCAAGCATTGCGTACTCCCTTGGTAATGACAATAGAAATTATAGAAGCATTCTGCACGTACTAATTTGTTAAGGTTTCGGTTTCGGTTTCGTTTCGACTCGCTACTCGACATAATTAAACCCGCCTTCATCCTAGTCTCACCTCGACTGTCCTCTAATTAATGTTAATTTACAATTTTTCTCGCTCTTTCGCTAATATGGGGTCGGGTTATATGGTTGGTTATATGTATATGCCTTGCTTAGTCTACAGAATTTGATCGTCTACATCGTTACGTAAATGTTTCGTCACACTTTCCTCCGGCTGCAGGGTGCACTGCGTCGCTCTGCAGGGAAGGAAACGTGTCCTGGCACTTGCACAGCGAGAGTGCCTATGAATATGGGAGGCCAGACGATCCGTTCTCAAGTTGCCATGGGCGTAGAATAAGTATATATATATATATATATGTTTTGTGTATGTATATAAAATGTACAGGAAGTCCGACTGATTTATAGGCAAACTATCGCTGTGCAAGTGCTATTACAACTAGAACCGAAAAGAGGGTCGATCTTGAGTTGGTCCCGCACTTTCAGAGACTCACAGCAAGATCAAACTCTTTCATTGCTACGGTGTTATTTTTAACAAATACATAATGTTTATGTGTTGCACTTATTTGTGGTTATATGCCGTTTTATGCATTGCTTTAGAATTACGTTCCTAGATTACGCGACTCTCGTCTGTTACTTGACTCTGTTGCTCTTCTCGAAATGCCGTTTCTCATTTCGAATTTATTCCTTTTTTTTATGTTTTACTTTATAGCAATTGGTTTTAATGTTGGTTTTGTTAGTTTGTGGTTGTTTCTTTCCTCTCTTATTATTGTATGCATAATTGGTTGTTGTTGTTCTCGGTTGAAGTATAATTAAATTTAAATGTATAGTATATTTATAATGTATGTATAATTATTTAACTCGAACTCGCAATCGCTTAGCTGTGAGCTGCTGGCTGTGGATTCTGCATCTGCACTCTGGATACCGAATTCTGAATTCGTTCGATCCGATGACGTGGCCAGGAAGGGGTGCAATCTTTCTTAGACAAACACCTTGGCGAGGCCATCGGCCCCGGCACTGGCGATGTACGGCTTTGTGGCATGGAAGGCCACATCGAATATGCTCTCGTCGAACTTCTTGCGGTGCGCCGTGATCTCCTGCACGCACGTCTTATTGTCCAGGTTCCACAGCCGTATCGAGCAATCGTGCGAGCCGGAAAGCAAGTACAGACCGTGTGCATCGACGGCCAGCGATGTGACCGGCTCTAAATGCGCCACCATCGAGTGCACCAGAGTGCCGGAGGTGTTGTCCCAGAAGCGGATGTGCCGGTCCTCGTGCGCGGTGATCGTGATGGGTAGCGTCGGGTGCGACACCACCTTGTTGATGAACTTCCCCGTGTTGCCGGACATCTCCTGCGCCGCCTCCAGCCGCACCACCTGCTTGCCCGTCTCCGTGTCGTACACGATGCAGTGGGCACTGTTGTAGGCCACCACGATGTGGTCCACCTCGTTGCGCACAAAGTCCACCGAGGAGGGCGCACCCTCCGCCTCGGAGGCCGTGTAGGTGCGCAGCAGCGGCTCCTTGTTGTAGGGCGACCACAGCTTAACCGTTCCATCTGCCGAGCATGAAACAATGTTGCTCTGCATGGTGGTAAGGCCCCACACGGCGTCCGTATGCCCCTCCAGAGTGCCGGAGTGCACGTTCGGATCGTAGCAATCGTACGGATCGATGTTCGGCGACGGCAGCTGCCAGCACTCGATGTTGCCGTCCAGGCCGCCTGAGTAGCATGTCTCGCCGCTGGACGACATGCCCAGGCACAGAACGGGACCCGTGTGAGCGCGGAAAGTATACAGCGGCTCCACATCCAAGCTGGCCGATTTCTTGGCCTGCACCGTCTTCTGCAGATTCCACAGCTTCAGTGTGTGATCCTCGGAGGCGGTGATCAGCACCGGCTCCTCTGGGTGAAAAATAAGTGAGCGCACACCGTCAAAGTGCGAGCGAAGCGTGTACTTGGCGTTCCAGGTCTTGCGGTAACCAGCACCGCCGGCACTGCCGCCAGTTCCGTCCTTGGAGTTTGCATCGTAGGCTCCATCAGATTCGTTATTCACCGTCAGCTGGGCCAGCTCGCCCAGTCCCAACGAGCCGTCTACCTCTGCGGGAAGATTAAAAAATACTGTAAGTACTTTATGTATTGTGCGACTCTTCAAGGAGTACCAATAACCACAGATACTGCTTTAATTGTATTGACTTTTAATAATAGTACTTTGGATTACATTTATTTTTAAAGAATTAATCTTTTTATGAGAGCGTTTTGCAAACAGAGCTTGAATATGATCGATATGTTCGACATTTTGACAATATTGAAGAAAAAACACAAATTAAATATCGAGAAATAGCAAACTTTCGATATTTCATCAAGTTCTACTTAGAAGTAACTATGATCGTAGGATCGTACTTTGGATTTAATTTATTTTTAAAGAATTAATTTTTTTATTAGAACATTTTGCAAATTATCGATATTTTCGATATTTTGACAATATCGATTCGATAATTCGAGAAATATCAAACTGTCGATATTTCCTCAAGCTCTACTTAGAAGTAACTTTGATCGTAGTTCTAGTTCCTAAAAAAGCATACAAAATTAAACAGTATCTGTGATTTTTCATTCTCTAGGTACTCCTTTGACAGTTGAGTGTTTCATATTTGTATTCTAGTCGAAAGCATGTTAGATCTGTTGAAAAGCACCTTCGGTCATGAGATTCATATCATTCAATAGCTGCTCTCCCACATCGGCCTCAAGATCTACGAGCGTAGAAGATAGAGTTGCCAAAGAAACAGAAGCAGAAACAAAAAGCGTAAGACAAGAAGCCGGCCATAAACTAGTATTGATTTCTACATGGGAGTATATAGGAGCTGGGAGCTAAACCGAATTAATTTCGTTATCGCTACGATTTGGCAAACATAAATGCGAGGCGGGCCCATGCGGGAAGAGGGCTGAAGGTAGCAGGCTGCGGGAATTATCAGGAGCAACACCTACCCTCAGTGAGCATATCCTTGCCAGACTTGGCGCGCTTGGCCAGCTTTACGTCCGTGTCATCATTATCGGTGGCCACCATCTCCAGGTCGTCGGATATCTCGTCGTCGTCGGACATTTCGGTGGCGCCCAGGAACTCAAAGTTCGCCATCACAGCCGCCTCGGTGTCCACGATTATTTCATCGATCGATTGTTGCACTTTTTTAGCGGGAGTATGACGGCCTGATGTGAGCAAATTATTCAAATCTCCCAACAGGGGGTCGTAACACAATCACCTACCTTCCGTCTCCGACGCGCGCTTGTTGCTCTCGTTGCCGTTGATGTTTGGGCTCAGGTTCTCGCCGCCAGTGCCGCCGCCAAGTCCGCCGCCCAGACCGCCGCCGCTGCCGTCGTGCTCGGCATTGTTGTTCAGCCCGAGGATCGAGCGCACCCGATTCGAGCGCACATCGATGATGTTGTCTGTGTAGCCGATCTCGGCCAGATACTGGCGCAGCATCTGTCGTCCCTGCCGCCACGTGGTGTTCGAAACGCTGCTGTAGGGCACCTCCGAATCAGTGGCCACCTCTCCGGCCAGTCCGGCGTCCTCGTTTGACGGCTTGAACTCGTTCAGCTGCGGCGGATCGGTGCCGTATTTTAACCGGTAGAACTTGGCCCGCTCCTGGCGCAGCGCGTACTCCAGCATCTTGATGCGGCGCGTCAGGTCCGATTTGAGACTCTCCAAGCACTTGCGCTCTCCGAGGAGCATTGCGATGCGAGCCTGTAAAATAGGATAAGATTGATTACTTAACATTGGATATAAATGCATTAAGATTTGAGGCAAGAAATAGATTTATTTACTGACTCCTCTTAAATCAAAATTAATTTAATCTTATATAAGAATATCAATAGTTTGTATTGACAATAGACCAAGACTATTTAGTATCATATTTACATTGACTGAAATCCAGAAAAATTACTTTTTAAAGTATAATTTTTAATGACCATTTCAGAATATCAATTTATATTTCAATTCAAAAATGATAAAAATAAAAAGTGAAAATTGTAAAATACTAGTGACCATTGTACAAATATCTAGATAATGTGTGTAATTAATCCCAAGTGGAAAGCATTATAGAAAATTAATTAATACTGCTGGTTTAAACTTTCCCATATGGCTTTGTCCCTCTTTTTCCTGCCGTTGCAATCCAATTGCGTTTGTTTGTTTGCTGCGGAGCATAATTGACGCTCCGCTGCGTCAGGCCAACGAAACACAATTAAATTCAATTAATAGTAATACAAAAAGAAAAACTGCAACTGGCACAATTATCTAGAGGGACAACTTCGGGTGAGTGGGGAGTACGGGTGGTACATCTAAGCTAGCTGTCTGTTCAATTAAACGAAATGCGTAAAAACTGCAATGTACCCCGAGTTTTCCACCCCACCCCCTCGTTCCACCCATTTCGTGTTCATTCAGCAAGCGTAGCAACAGACTGCAGTTATGACTGCGCAATTCGCTGAGCATTTGGAGGAAAAATCCAGGGGGTGGATGGATCCGCGGGGCAGGCATTGCACCTGACATAGTTGCTGCGGTGCTGCAAGGTGCGTAAAGGAATGAAACTTTTGCTTTTTCTGCTTCCTCCCTCTTCCGTGCCACAACTATGACGACGACCCCTGCAAAAAAACACAAAAGAGGGGAATTGGGCGGCACCCACGCTCCCACATTTGAGGTCACCTGAATAGTTTTATGTCTATTGATTTTTATACATTTTAAACCAATGTTATTGTCTCCAGAATTTTAAAACAGAATTCCATATTAGAGCTTGAAAATGATCGATACTTTCGATATTTTGACAATATCTTTTCGATAATATCGATGGTTTGAAGGGAAAGCACAAATAAAATATCGAGAAATATTTATTTATTCTCTGGTTAATCGAGAAATAGAAAATTCTATTTCGAAGTAGGATTCCTAATTTACAAATCATTTTTGCTTTTCATTTCTTTTCGATTTCGTTGGACTAGTCTTATAAAATGATTTTTTTACTATTAGTTAAAAGTTTTAATTATTTATTTTCCTTAAATAATTCTGATGAATAAGCGTAGATAATAATAAAAAAACTATGTGCTAAAATAACTATTTTGGAATTTCTCATGTACTTATCGTTCGTGCTAACAAGTATTTTAATTGCAAAATTCCTACTTTTTTGGAAGCAGTTGTAAATGAGGCAAGCACAGAACCAGAACTAACAACAATAACAATTCGCCCATGCTAATAGTAACACAAATCAGGGAGTGCGAGCGGGATCGACACTCTTTTGCGCTGCTGCTGCTAATGGAAACATGTTGTGCATTTAAATTACCGCACAATGGCATTTCGTTTGGCTCCTTAAGCTGGCTAATTAAAACCAGCGCTAATATTGCGGATATTCGGAATAGATGGGCGATGGAGCCAAAAGGGCCAGGTAACACACGCCAACGCCTTTTGAGCAGCAGGCTCTTCACAAATCGCTTCGCGTCATGCAACTAGTTTTTATATTCGCCATGTATCCGCAATTAGAAATTACGAATGCCATGACAAATGCGCATTTGTAACTTAATTGCCCCAGAGAAGCCAGAAGATTTTGATTTACAATTCTCAGGAACGCATTATAACAAAAGAGCCAACTCTTGGGCTTGGAATTATTCATTGCATAATACGGCAGGGAAATGCCTATATTGCACACATGGGCGTATAAATAGAATTATTAATACGACAAGTGCCAGCGGCGTTGGTTTTTCTAATCTGTAAATGCATTCGCACACAATTGCGATGGCAAACTGATTGAAAATATATTAGCAGCTGTCGCGTCTTTTTTGCTTACAGTGTTGGCAGAATGACAAGAGAATATCCAAAAATGTATTTGGTAATGTAATTCCTTTTAAAGTGTTTAATATTATTTTAAAATGTATTTTTAGAAATAAATGAAGAGCAAATTCTAAAATAATTATTTAACAATTTATATTTGGTTTATTTATGGACATTATTGTAGGGGTTGTTTTCCATATTTGGTATTTCACAACAGAATGAAAAACGACAAGGAAATAAAATTATGTGAAACTTTTGAAAAATGTTTTTAAAAAAGTGTTCTCTTGCGTTCTTAAAAATACAACCTACAACGGTTGTATAATTTTTGATATACAGGTAGGTATTACCAAAAACATTTTCATAAGGTTGATAAGGTTATTAAAAGCGTGCTTAAAATAAGTAGAATCTGACCACTGTGCAAGTTAATTGCCTGACAGACGCGACAGCAGGAAAAGCCGGCCGAGTAGGAAGTGGAAGTGGAAGTGGATGCATTCATGGGAAGACCGGGGAAACAGAGATTCATAGAGACAAGGACGTTGCATTCGCAGCAGTCGACACTGACACACAAAGAGCTGTGCTGTGCGGTGAGGATGGGAAATATAAATAGATGCAGGCAGGGAACGAATCCACGACTGGTGAAACAGACCCAGCTAAGATGGCGTCGCCTCTGCCCACCCGAACCCGGTTCATTTTGGCCAAAACGCCAAACGAGGCGAACAGGTTCATAAATCGCGGCGACAAATGTGCGTTGTTAACTCGTTTTTTTTTTTTTTTTTTTGTCTTTTTGCCATGCCATTTTCCACTTGATGCAAAGCAGGGAGAGAGATTTGAATGTCACGTTGCATTTAGACCGTAACGGATTGTTAGCAGAGGGTGGTGGGGGGTGTCTCGTTATCGATACCGGTCGTTATCGGGCCGCTTGACAGGTGAAAGCGATAGGGCGTGGGTCGACATTGACACTGACGACGGAGTGACGGAGGGGGATGGATCATCTCTCCTGATGAGTTAAAATCATCCTCCCTGCGGGTACAATTTTTTTTTTTTTGGGGTAAAGGCTTTTTTTTGGGGAATCGTTTGCCGTCTGCGACAAACAGAGCATGAATTCGATTACGGCAATTGCTCAACTCGATTCGCTTGCATGCAGACAGCCAACCCTGTGGGGCTCCTCTTGGCCGTTTTCCTTGCATGTTCATGCATTAGCGCCTCGAAAAATCATTGAAATGGAAAGTAAGCTCTCGCTGTCGATAAACAAGGACCTTTTAACCCTTCGACTGACTTAAAAAACATGCTTGCCAAATTGATTTTGTATCTACGATTTCGTGTGTAGTACTAAGGTGTTATTTGTAAAATATATTTCATTCTGCTTTGAGTCAGCCCTGTTCCTTTTTAAATCAATAGTCTAATGACAAGCTTTTTTAAAGAAAACTTAAGTACAGGTTAGAAAATAAAAATCTAAATTAATATTTGAGATACTAAAAAATTCTGATAATACTGTAGAGGAGAGTAACTTTCTAAGAAATCGCGGTCTATCGAGGAAAATCGAGTAAATTTCCGCTGTTCTATAGTATACGTAAGAAGCAGATGATGGGCAGAACAATTCCCTATGCTCACTTAATAGGACCCTGCCGACGCTGCTCTAGAGTATTAGCAAAATTCTTAAAGGAAAATATTTACAGATTATTTTCTGCCAGCAAAGAAAACTAGTTTTAGAGGGAGAATCGCTTGGAAGACCACTCACCTGCAATTCGGCCCTGTCCACGTCCCACTGTGAACGCTCCAGCTCGAAGCGCGACCACTCGTGCTGGATAAAGTGCAAGATGCCCGGTATTGTGTACTGGGGCGTCGTAGCCTGCTGGTTGTTTGGTCCGCCGCCGATCATCCCGTTGCCGCCGTCGTCGCCGCCCACGTTGCCCATGCCGCCGCCGCCGCCGACCAGGCCGCCCACATTGGCGTTCTGTCCACCAGCGTTGAGACCGCTGATGCTCAGACCGCCACTGCCGCCGCCGCCGCCGCCCAAGCTGTTGGACAGGACGCCGCCGATCGAGGAGTTGGCACCGCCCACTCCGCCGCCTCCGCCAAGGACGCCGGCTCCTGCCGCACCGCCAACCGGCTTGTTGTTGATGCCAGCGGTGGCTCCCGAGTTGGTGCCCATTGGTTCACGTCGCTCTCAGTGGCTGTGCTGTCGGCCGGGTGTTGTAGCTGCTCCTGATCCTGTTCTCCCGCTGCTCCTGCTCTCTCCAGATCCTTTTAATCGTGGCTTGCCAGCTGTCTGCCTCCGGGTGCCCAGTGCAAAGTCCTTTGTTTTTTTTTTTTGCTCTCTCGAACTTGTTTGCTCGCTGGTCTTACGGTTGGTCCTGTTTCGTGTTTTTTTTTTTTTGGTTTGGGATAGAAAAGCAAAGTTCCGTACATGAGACAAATGAGGTCATTGAATTTTCCGAGAAAGGGGAGAAGGGGGAGGAGGCAACCACAGGACACTCGCTGCTGGTTGCCTCCCTCTCGCTCGCACCCTCTCTATGTACTACTACTACGCTCTCTCGCACCGGAACCGCCCCCACCCCCACCGCCCCGCTCTCGTTCGCAACTCTCTTTACGGTACACGCGACTCTCTTTTACTCTCTAGTGTTGCCAACGGCGCTTGGAAAAAGCGTAAATTATAGCACAAAAAGCGGTGAAACAGCTGATGTAACGCAGGAGTTGGGAGTTTTAACAATTGTATATTCCACACTTTCCAAATGGCGAAAATTGGTAGGAAAATTAAACTGACACACACACGCACGCACACACTCACCAAATCGCAGGGAAATTTGAATGGCACACACACAACCACGCACACGATGGGGATTTCGATGGGGTTCTTACTTTTCCTCTTTCTTTTTTTTTTGTTTAATTATTTTTTAACTTTTTCTAGCTGTCCAGCAATGGGTTGTACTGCGTATTCGCTTTTCGCTTCCTGGGCAGCCGCTGCCAATGAACTGGAACCTTATTTAATAGCTTCTGCTCGTTTACTTGACAATTTTGTTTACTATTTACAGCTTTTTCCAAGGAAACGTTGTTGCTACACTTTTCGCCCGATTCACCGTATTGTGTGCGAGAAGAGGAGCAGACGAAAGTCGAGGTGGGGAAGAGGAAGAGAGCGGAACCCGGGCAATTAGATTAGGCCGTAATTTGGTGCATAATTGTGCCCGTTTGCAATTACTAATTAATTAAGGCGAACAACGCTGGGGCGGCGTTGCACACAAAAAGTCGATTCGATTCGGCCGCACATCAGAATGTTTGGCCTGGAACTCTGAAATAACACACAGAGTTGCAGCGCCCGCACAGCATTCGTCTCGCTCGCACTCGCGCACCTGCCGTTCCGTCTGGGCCCTCGTATACGGCCGTCTCGCTCTGCGAGTCTATATACAAAGAAAAACACACACACACAGGCACAAGCGTACGCATACGCCACAGCCGAGTTAATTTCACTTTGCTGAATTTGGCGTGTGTTATTTTATGATTTTCGACCGCGTTGGCGTTGCATGGCCGCCTTGCGTCGCTTACTTTGCGCTTTACTGCACCGCTTGGCTGTATTTTGCAATTTTCCTCTTGATTTTCATTGGTATGGTATTCACGCGTAATGTAATTCTTAGAGCTGAAACTAGGGATGTCGGAAAAATATCAGAACATCAATATATCGATATTTTTCCTTCAAGAAATACCATCCCGATATTTTTTGGGCCGAAATATCGCATGAAGATGTATTTTGGTTATGATATTTCCGTTATTTTATATTAAAAACTAGTACTAGTCAAGTTATAACCATGTTGTGGGATCGGTTTTCTATCGATAATACTAATAGGGCACTGTCGCGCCTTTATTTGAATTTTTAAAATTTCTGCTGAATGACACCTTGTTTCTACTTTTCAAAATGGAAATTGTATTTTTAATAATAATTTCTTTGACCCCACACACTACTTTTATTGTAATTACAAGAAGAGAAGAAAAGACACAAAGAAATTTTATTCGATACCATCAAGATATCTTGAAATTTCACAGGTGATTTATCGAATAGTCGAAGAGTACGGAGATTGTCACTGATTGGAGGGTGTATTTGCTAACTTTGGGTTGTGCATTAGCTTAATAATGTATACGCGTTTACAGCCCCTGTTATCTGAATGTTAAGTCTCCGGTCTCCGCCTACTAGAAAGATATCGCTACAGTGCAATTAATTATCCAGATCACTGATGGATTTCTTATAATAGATATGTTAACCTCGCATGATCACTGATCATGATTCATTAATTCTTTCAACATGATTATTATACGCTACCTTTTCTTGATACATAGCTGCTGGCTTATATTGAGCGTTCTTTATCGGTCAAATTCCTTACAATTGTTCGCCTTTTTTATCTGTATGTTCTTACGACGTAGGAATGCATTGTCGTTTAGCAGAAGACACAGTATCACTTACTTAACTATCAGTAGTCAAGTAAATCAAAATAAAGCCGATGTTCCGGCGAGAGGGCGACTATGTCACATCCTGCTGTTCAATTAAAACCCTTTATACCTACTGTACTTCCTCAGAAAACCACCGCCCCGCGTTGGATGTTTTACATGGCTGTACATTTATTTCGGATGGACATTAAATTACATATTAACTACAAACTAACAGTGATATGAACATGAATACGACAAATGCTTAGCTTAGGGATTGGCCCACTTAGCTTGACGGGGAACATAGGTTATTTGTCTGTGCCGTGAGCATATGCCTTTTGATCGAAACACTCGGATTCCGCGATCACATCCCTTACAAGAACTCCTCGCACCAGTCATTCAGGCAGTTGTAGCAATCGGACGCCTGCTTGGAGCTCGCGTGGCACACCTCCTTCATCCAGTCCTTGAACAGCTCCTCGTCCTTCTTCAGCACCAGGTACTGGCCCAAAACAGTGTATGCCTGCGGTGTTGAAAGAATATAATTATAAACACTCCGCATTGTTTATTTGCGCACATGGCGTCATCGTATTTACACACGCACCTTGTCGAATCCAGCTTCCGTCAAGCGTCCGCCGAGGGTTTCGCCGATTCCGGCCAGCTCCGTCACCGACTTGTTGCCCATCGGCTCCGCCACAAAGTTCCTGTATTTTTGCGAAGTGCCCGACATATTTGCTGTTTGTTTCCTTTGTGCGCGTTGCGAAATTCCAGTGCAAAATTTCAATGACAAAAAATTCGCGGCGTTTCTAAAAGTGACGTACTAACAATGTGACCGTTACGACCATCTCAATAAAATACCGCAAATGCTTAGACATACCAATATTATTTAGACACATACCGCAACATGTAAAATACAGCAAAGACTCAAACCAGTTACCAGAATGCAAAAAAAAACTGTTCACTTCTGCCAACGAAAAAAATGTTTTCATGTTGATCATTTCAATGTTTTCAAAAAAAATGATCAAATTTATTTTTAAATTAGGAAATTTAATATATAAATAAATATAACGAAGGTATAGCCAAACTACCGAACCTCTATTTATGTCAAATGCCTTGCGGTGGTCACGATTCCGGGTGAACGGCTTATCCGAATTCAAAAATGTAAAAAAATTTAGTTAGTTTTAAATTAATAAATGTATTAATTAATGTGTTTAAGTGGATGAACCACAAATTCAGACGGTCTTATACGTAAATACATGATTTATTTACAAAAAAAAAAACATTAAAAACACTTTTTTAAAGATTTTTTTAATGATTTCCTATATTGAGAATAAAAATAGGAAACAAATATTTACCCTTTGAACTTCCTAAAATAGTTACTCATATATTAGTAATTTCATTTTTTATTTTTAAAGTTAAATTTTAAAAATAAGATCATTAGTCACTAAATGGTAATTAAAATGGGAAATGAAGAAACCCATAAATAAATTTAAATATACGGTTGCATATAAAATATTCCGAAAGACATAGATTGCTCCAGTTGGCAATCAATGCACCTGTGATTAGTATGCACCAACTGGGCTTAACCCAATTTACCAGCGCCGCGCTTTGGACATCCAGCTGAGCGTGAGTGATAAGAACCTCCCAACCGAAGCTTCAACATGGGAAGTAGTCCGTCCGAAACTCCAGTCTTGATTGACACCTAGCCCTGTTCTAGCTTATCACCCGCTATAAAATCCACGATTTCGAGCCCCGTGGCACAGTGAAGTCTAATTTGCCGCCAAGATGTTGGCGCTTTGCTGGCTCTGCGGCTTGGCCCTTAATTGGATGATGGGTGAGTTACGGGGAATCGGATATACACGAGTATCTGGCTTTGTCTCCATCGACTTCGCGGCTGACCGAGATTCGCGCACACACATCGCATTGATGCTGAGTAATTAAAACGCTCCAGGCCAAGAATTAATTGCTGGGTCGAAACCGGTTTCGAGGATTACTAATGCGTCAGCCGCCTTAATGAGCTTGGATCTGGAAGCTGGGAGCTCTGATCTTGGGTCTTGGGTCATCGTCGGAGTCCGGCGTCCGATCAGTCGAAGATCGTCGTTTAGCTGGTCAAGATGTCCTCGAATGCGCTGGCCTGCATCTGCAATGTGATAAATCCTTGTCGCAACGAGGTCTCCACCACATTTGTGGTTGTTCAGTGGCTCATCACCGGCTTCGCCGCCCTCGCCCAGGTGGTTCGACCCGTGCTACTCCTCTGTAAAGCGGATTGAAATCAATATAGTTTTATTACTAATCCCGGAATCCACACCTTCTCTTTCAGTTGGCATTCGTGGTGAGGTGGCTCTGAACCAGGAGGATTACAACAAGACCTGGATTTATATGCCCAATGGCCAGGGTAAGCCGGAGGTGGCCTATTTGGTGGAACCGCCGCCCGAAAATCGCATCAATCTCCCCCAGCTCATCAAGTTTGAACTATATGGAAGGTGGGTAAACACATATTTATACCCGTTACTCGTAGAGTAAAAGGGTATACTAGATTCGTGCAAAAGTATGTAACAGCTAGAAGGAAGCGTTTCCGACCCCATAAAGTATATATATTCTTGATCAGGGTCACTAGCCGAGTCGATCTAGCCATGTCCGTCTGTCCGTCTGTCTGTCTGTCCGTCTGCCCGTCTGTATGAACGCTGAGATCTCAGAAACTACAAAAGCTAGAAGGTTGAGATTTCCCCCACATATTCTTTGGCTTCCTACGCAGCGCAAGTTTATTTTAGCCGAGCGCCACGCCCCCTCTAACGCCCACAATCGCCCACTAACGATTTTAAAATGGGTCCTGCGCCCACATCTTTAAAGATTTCCGAAAAGTATAAATGCAATTTTGTTGTGTATATTTATACCTATCGAAATGTAGAAGACATTTTTTAAATCGGACCATTCATTAAAAAGTTATACGCAATCAAAAATTATATATCTATCTCCCTCGCACTCCCTTTAGCTGAGTTACGATTATTAGTCGGGACACCAACCCGACACAGCGTTCGCACTCCCTTTAGCTGAGTGACGGGTATTAGATAGTCGGGACAACAACCCGACTATAGCGTTCTCTCTTGTTTATATTATTTAATTTAAATTTGGGTTTCTTAATAACAAAATGCTTAATTTTTAAACATTATATCAATCATTTAAAAATATTAAAAAAAAAAAAATACAAAAATATAACGTCCAATTGTGGTAAATATTTTCTGATAAAAAAATTACTCTTCAAAGAAAAAATATCTATACAACTTAAATAAAACTTCTAGGTTTTTTAAATTTTATCTTTTTTTTTGCAATTTTAGTCCACTTCTTTGCAGTGAGTCCAGTTCTAGCGCAGATTTTATATTATTTAATTTAACTTCGGTTTTCTTAATAACAAAATGCTTAATTTTGAAAAACTTTTAATTTTATTTCAATCATTTAAAAATATTAAAAAAAAATACAAAAATATAACATCTGATTTTGGTGAATATTTGCTGATAAAAAAATAATTCTATACAACTTAAATAAAATCCCTAGGTTTTTTAAAATTTATCTTTTTTTATAATAATGCAATTTCATTCCACCTCTTTGCAGTGAGTCCAGTTCTAGCGCAGATTTCTGGATAGATGACAACAACTTTGAGTTTCCGCAACGCCACAAGCGAGACACCTGGCAGGAGATGGCCGAAAAGTTTAATCCCGACCTGGACACAAAGATCCTAGTGCACGGCTGGAAGTCCAGCACCATGAGCAACTCGATCCAGTCGATACGCGGGGCCTACATCGAACGTGGTCAAGTCAATGTCTTTGCCATCAACTGGAAGGATCAGGCGGATAATATCTACTACCTGACCCCGGCTCGATATACGGTGCAGGTGGGCAGGGCGGTGGCCAAGCTGATTGATCTGCTGGTGGAGGAGAAGGATGCGGATCCGAATAGGATCCACCTCATTGGCCACAGCCTGGGCGCCCACATAATGGGCTATGCAGGATCGTACACCAAATACAGAGTTAATCGTATAACGGGCCTGGATCCTGCGCGTCCCGCTTTCGAGGATTGCATAGGCCCCGAGAATCACCTGGACGATACGGACGCCAACTTTGTGGATGTTATTCACAGTTGTGCTGGTTACTTGGGATTCAGAAAGCCGATAGGTATGGTGGATTTTTATCCAAATGGCGGAGGACCACCGCAGCCTGGTTGCAAGGAGCTTTCACAGATTTTCAGTGAGTATTCAAAGTGGTAAGCTTCGTTTGAATTTATGTAACTATTGCTACCATTCCTAGCTGGTTGCAGTCATGGACGCTCGTACGAATATTATGCAGAATCCATTAACTCCCCAAAAGGTTTTTATGGTACTCCCTGCTCTGGACTAGATGAACTCAAGGGCAAGAACTGTACAGGCGGCAAAATACTGATGGGTGATCCCGTTCCCCGAGATGCTCGGGGGATATTCTTCGTAAAAACGGCCAACAAACCGAGCTATGCCTTGGGAATCGATGATATCTGGAGCAACTAACCATTCTTCTTTTATAGAATAGAAATAATCAATCATGAATATTTATTATTAATATTATTACAAGAAATACAATATGCAACTGAAGTTGATTCGGGGAAGTGGATCTTCCAATCTGCCTTTGCAGTTTCTAAGAGCGAACATCATATTCCTCGCTGCCAAACACATCCTCTAGCTCTTCGGAGTCGAACCGCACCACAATTGTGCCACGCCTGGCATACCGAGGAGTGTATTCAAAGGAGGCTCTTGCCTCGCCACCCACTGGGGTTTCGCCAACCTGTAAGAAGCAAAATGTTTATGAGTTTTTTCTTTACTTTCTATCTGTGGCAACCCACCTTGAACTTGAGAGGCTTCTCGATGCCCGGTCCCTCCACGATAAACATACCCTTGGTCAAGGGAATGGGCAGCGGATTCTCGAGGCTCATGGTCACATCCATCATTCTCCTCTCTCCCTCCTCTTCCTCCACCTCTTCCAACTGGATCATAATAGTTGGTTTGCGAAGCGAAAGATTATCCTCGTCGTAGCAATCGAGGTCGGTTCCCTCTACCGTGGCGGTTGCGGAAATGCGGAAGGATGCATTTGAGGACATCATGTCGAAATACTCATCAAAGGTGACCTCCATGCTAGCGTAGTCGCTGCCATCGGGCTGTAGTTCCAGGTCGTACTCAATGGTCTTGACTTCCTCTGCATCCCTTCCGTTGTACAGAATGGCATCGCATTGGATTATACCACTTACCACGTAAGAACGACTTTCACTCCTATTGGTAATCTTAAGCTGCACACTGAAGTCCTTTCCGATCGTAACCTCGTGGTCTAGTTCCAATTCCAACTGAATGTCGTTGACCTGCTTATTGAGATAGAGCTTACTAAAGTTGTGACGGGTTTGCTCGAGGGCCTTCATCATGGTGCTCCTTTCTCTCATGGTATTCTCGGCATATTTGTAGCTATCGGTAACGTCTTCCCTTTTCCATTCCAGAACAGCCTTTGTGCTAATATTTTTACCTACGCTCTGGGTATCCCACGAGAGGAGCTTCTTTGGTTTTCCGTCACCATAGGAGCGCCAAGTGAGGATATCCGCATTCACCTCAGCAAAGACAAATGGGGTATCAAAAGGCGTTTGGATCTCACCATTTTTTACAGCCGAAACGGGTGCGGGACCCAGTCGATACATTTCATCGGATTTCTCCTGCGGAGTGCCATCCACCACCTGCCACCCATCGAAGTTACCATACTGACCCTCTCCCAAATCCGGTCGCTGCATCCACAGTTCGTTCCACACATGAAAGTTCCAAATGGAGTCTTTATGGTCCAATTTCTTGTTGTTCTTGTCCACGAAAATATCCATGGTCAAAGAGGAATCGGAATCATGGGCAGGAGAGAAGCAGGTGATGATCCTAGCCGGAATTCCCAGACTCCTGGCGATGGTAGCCAGGACACCGCCGAAAACCCAGCACTGGGCATACTTCACCGGTTTTTTGGTTTCGTAAAATTCTCGAAGGATTTCAGTTGAACCGGTCCACTTCGTTGGAGGAACCCCATCCGGGAAATGCTTGGCCCACTTTCCCACCAGGATTCCTTCTTCATCATTCTGGTTTACCAGAGCGGACAAGGCACGAGCAACTTTTACGGGATCACCTCTGAAGGCAGGTTTGACCTTACCCACAGTTCCCAAGACCTTCAAGCTGCACTCCAGCACGTCACGTTCATATTGTCCGACTTTCCAAGGCATGGAAGATAGGCTTTTGTAGGATCCCGTCCAAATAAGAGTTGTATCGTTTAACACATACTCCTTGCGTTGGTCACGATCCTCCAGATAGACCTGGTCATCCGGACACCAGGGATTGAAGAGCACATAAATGGGCAGTGTAAGGGGATAACTATCTCCTAGCTCGGTGTCGATGTCCAGTTTCCACACCGTCACAGGACAGTTGGATGGCGGTTTAATCAGCACGGTGAGCACTTGACCATCATACGATTTAATGCCTGCGCCCCATTCCGTCGGTTCCCCCAAATCATCTATGGTATCATTGGGGGATAGAACATTGAGGGTTCTGTTTCCCGCGCTCGGCTTGATAGCATCCGCCACAGTGAATGTGAAGTTGATGTTATCCTGGCTGGGGTCGTAGTCTCGGTTGAAATGGATCTGTACCTCGAAGGGATCTCCTCTCCTCACGATGAGCGCTTCCTCTTCAAACGCCGCATTGAAATATTTTGTGTGATGCCTAACATGATTGTCCTCCAGGCAGAGATCTACTTCCAGAATGCTTAACTCCTCTGAGCTTGAGTCATCTGTTAATTCAAAAACGAAGTGTTAATAAATTCCCGACAAAAATTTTAGTGAATCTTAGAACTCGAGTATCTATCTATAAGGCATCTTATAAGTTTTCAGCTTCCTTTTCAAAAATTAACATTTTAACATTGCAGAAATAGTTAGTTAAAATAAAATTAAATTATTTAAAGATTTTCTTCCTTAGTTAAAATAATTTCAAATTCAATCCAGCAGTTTAATATGGATTGTATTAAAATTTACTTTACTATGTTTAATTTAAATGTGTAATAAAAAACTTTGAATTCAATATGCTGAAATTAATTTTAAATTTTTCATTGCATTTCAGTGTAGATTTATTTTAGCACTTAGTGCACTGACTCAACGATTTTAATCAAACAAACTACAAGCTACTCAATAGGGGACACTTTCATTGAGCCTATCCAAACCAGTTGTATAATTTAAATTTAAACTGAAAAATGTATAAGAGAAAGCATCAAGTGACTAATAATTTAATTTTCACGGGTATTTACATATGTGATGCTTAACTTTTAAAATGTCAGAAGTGGATTATCCTCTTTTAAACTTCTTAGACATACCTTCATGATCTGATGAAGATCGAGTGCGGAGGTAAGGACGCGACAAACTATTCCACATTTTATTCTTATGGGAAGTAAGCAATAGCGACACAATTAAACAAAGAAGATTTTAAGCTGGAACCACTCGAAGCTAACACCACGAAGCTGTGATCACCACTAATATTTGAGGAAACTCGTGGTGGACTTATATTTATACTACTTATCTTAAGAACAATGGTTATAATGTTAAAAAAATAACATTACTAATATTCGTCGGAAATGATTGATGACTTATGGAATACTTATCGTTCAAAAAAAATTATATTTTTAAGAAAATACTTATCACCAGAGAAAATAACTTTTTTTTAAGCATCATGCAAGCAAATTATCACAAATGTTTTATTTATTTTAAGACAAATATCTTTTAACCCAACAAAATTTTTTAAGGATATATATGTAGTTCTGTGAATAATTTATATCCGTAGTTACTTCAAAAGCGCAGTCACTCGAATACCGTGTATTATTAGGGTTAGTAAAGTTGATTTTTTGCTATAATCGAAGAAGAGCGAACTATTGTAGGATTGACTGTCTGAATCTAAGTAATTATATACGTGTTATAATCACCTTTATGTAAACCGATGCCTTACAACCGAGAATATTTTTAAAATCTTAAACAAATCTTAAATCCGAGCTGTGCCTTGGAAACCTACAATATCTGAATAAACTAACCATTTTTCCTCTATAAAATATCAATAATGAATATTTATTATTAATATTGATACATGAAATACAATGCAACTGAAGTAAATTGAGGCTAGTGGATCTTCGATTGTTCTTGTACAGATTCTACGACATTGTAAGAGGCAAAACATCATAGTTTTTGTAGCCATCCACATCCTCTAGCTCCTCGGAGTTGAATTTGACCACCATTACGCCATGTGCAGCATAGGGCGGAGTGTATTTGAAGGTTGCTATTGCTTTGCCACCCACTGGGGTTTCGCCAACCTGTAAAAAGCAAAATGTTTTTAAGTTTATTGGTCACTTTTTATCGATGTCAACTCACCTTGAATTTGAGAGGCTGCTCGATGCCCGGTCCCTCCACGATAAACATACAATTGGTCAAGGGAATGGGCAGCGGATTCTCGAGACTCATGGTCACATCCATCTCTTTTTTGGCCACAATTGGAGCCTCTCCCAACTGGAGCTCAATGGTCGGTTTGCGCACCCGAAAATCTTCCTGGGTGTAGTGATCGAAGTCGGTTCCCTTTACCTTGGCGGATGCGGAAATGCGGAAGGATGCCTTGGATGACATAATTTTAAAGTACTCCTCAAAGCTGACCTTCATGCGAACTAAGTCGCTGCCCTTGGGCTGCAATTCCATTTCGAAGCCCATGGTCTTGACCTTCTCTGCTCCCCTTCCATTGTACAGAACGCCATCGCATCGGATTATACCTTTTACTAAGTGAGGGCGACTTTCGCTTCTATTGGTCATCTTAAGCAGCACACTGAAGTCCTCTCCGATCGAAACCTCGTGGTTTAGTTCCATTTCCAACACAATATCATTGAACTCGTTATTTAGATAGAGCTTGCTAAAGGTGTGACGGGTTTGCTCGAGGGCCTTCATCATGGTGCTCCTTTCCTTCGAGGAAAGCTCAGTGTATTTGTAGTTGTCGGTGACGTCTTCCCTTTCCCATTTCAAAACAGCCTTTGTACTAATATTTTTACCTACGCTCTGGGTATCCCACGCGAGGAGCTTCAGCGGCTTTCCGGTGCCCTTGAAGCGCCAATAGAGAATATCCGCATTCACCTCAGCAAAAACAAATGGAATATCGAAGGGTGTATTGATTTCTCCATTTTTTACAGCCGAAACGGGTGCGGGACCCAAGCGATACATTTTATCGGAGGTCTCCTGGGGAGTGGCATCCGCCACCTGCCATCCATCAAAGTTACCATACTGACCCTCTCCCAAATCCGGTCGCTGCATCCACAGTTCGTTCCACACATGAAAGTTCCAAATGGAGTCTCGGTAGTCCACTTCCTTATTGTCCTCGTCCACGTATTTATCCAAAGTTAAAGATGATTCGGTATCATGAGCGGAGGAGAAGCAAGTGATGATCCTAGTCGGAATTCCCAGACTCCTGGCAATGGTAGCCAGGACACCGGCGAAAACCCAACACTGTCCATACTTCACCGGCTTTTTGGTTTTGTAAAATTCCTGAAGGATCTCCGTTGAACCCGTCCACTTCAAGGGTGAAACCCCATCCGTGATTTGCGAGAGATCCTTTCTCCAGTCTCCCCACAGGATGCCTTGGTCATCGTTAGAGTTTACCACAGCGGACAAGGCGCGGGCCACTTTCACTGGATCACCTCTGAAAGCAGGTTTGATCTTTCCCACAGATCCCAGAACCTTCAAGCTGCACTCCAGGACGTGACGCTCATATTGTCCGATTTTCCAAGCCGCTGGGTGCGCGTTGTTGTGGGATCCCCTCCAAATGAGAGTTGTATCGTACAGCACGTACTCCTTGCGCTGGTCACGATCCTCCAGATAGACCTGGTCATCCTGACACCAGGGATTGAAGAGCACATAGATGGGCAGTGGGAGGGGGTAGCTCTTTGATCTACCTCCTAGCTTAGTGTCGATGTCCAGTTTCCACACTGTCACTGGACAGGTGGATGGCGGCTTGATCACCACGGTGAGCACTTGACCTTCATGCGATTCAATGCCTGCTCCCCATTCCTTCGGTTCCCCCAAATCATCAATGGTATCATGGGGCAAGAGAACATTGAGGGTTCCGTTTCCAGGACTCGGTTTGATGTCATCCGCCACCGTCAATACGAAGCTGAGGGAATCCTTGCTGGGGCTATAATCTCGGTCGAAATGGATCTGCAGCTTGAAGGGATCTCCCCTCCTCACAATCAGGGCTTCCTTTTCAACTGCCGTATTGAAGTAACTCGTGTGATGCTCAACATGGTTGTCCTCCAAGCAGGGATCTACTTTCAGAACCTTTAGCACTTCCGAACTTGAGTCATCTGTTAAGTCAAAAACGAAATATGATTTGTTAAACGATATTCTCTTTGTAACTACACGCACATACCTTCATGATCTGACGAAGGTCGAGTGCTGTGGTAAGGATGCGCATTTCGGGGCTGAGAACTCGGCCACCAATTATTCATCCAACTAGGCATTTTAAGCTTATAGGAGGTAATAGAATTGTATTAAGATGCGAAAACCACAAAGCTTTGATCACTACTAGCATTTAAGAAAACTGGTGGGGCTTTTATACTTATGCTTCTTATCTAATGAATAATGATCATATTATTGGAACTCATACATTACTAATATTTGGGGAAATGCTTCCTGATGACCTATGAAATAATAATTTGTCATTCCTAGAAAAAAGGGCTTCTAAGCGTCATGAAAACTAATTACTAGGAATATTTCGTGAAAGTTTGTTTAATAATGATCTTTGAACCCATATATATAAAATATAACTAACATATACATATGTTAGTTGAGCAATACTAAGAATTGCCTTTCTTTTAATATTTGTAATATAGATAACAGAATGATTTATGTAAAAAACAGTAAACTAATTGCTTGATTAATACCTATGTATCATCTTTGAAAGCCCTTTTTAACCGTCATGAAAACTTATTATTATGAATGTTTCGGGAAAGTATGTATGATAATTATCTTGTAACACAACAAAACGAGCAATGCTACAAAAATCCTATTTTGTTTTGTAATATTTTTCTTTAGGTAAAAAAAATGAGATCTCTTTCGAATACCGTTTAGAATTGGTAACGTTGTTTTCTCGCTTTAAGGGAAGAAGAGACATCAGACGTACCATCGCAATAACGTGTTTCAATCACCTTTATGGAGATCTATACATTAGATGAATCTGCATCTGCGGTTTGCAGCGTTCCATTCAGCGGGTATAGGGATAGGCTCTGAAAGTTGAACTGGTAGTCAAGAAAGTCACTTCTATTGAAGCCGCGGGCAAAAGCCTTCGTTTTTTTTTCATATCTTAAAAACGAATAGTGGTTTCAAAGTCAGCCCTAGCACGTATTTTAAAGTTAATCGAAATCTTTACTTTGAGCCTAGTGCCAAAAGAAAATAAGTCCTGGAAGATGGTTTTTTTCACCTGCAAAGCGTACGAACGTCGCGTGCGACAGCAGAGAATTGCCCATATACTTTATAAGTCCGAATAACTAATCTAAAAACATCCTTTAGTTAATTAAAAATTTGATATTTGACAGTCTTATTTTTATGCTTAAGGGAAAAGAATTCTTTAAAAAATAGATATTTTAGCATTCGAATAACTCCTCCAAAAACTTTTCCATGTTTCCCAACTGTGAAATAAACAAACTTAAGATTGACTACGGTAAAACCATTGCTATGTCTTTGAATTATAAAAAATCTATACGTGTACGCTGTACGTAATGGTAATTTATTTATTAATTTGTGATCGATTTTTTATGCATAATAAAAATAAACCATTGTACATAAAGGTTATTTTAGGCTATAACATCGGTTTGTCTGCGGATGATGTTGCTCCTCCGATGGTTTCCGTTGGGTTGCAGCAGATCCTCTGGTCGGGGCTCAATTTCGTAGTGCTTGTAGCCATCCACATCATCCAATTCTTTGGAGGTGAACTTGGCTACCATTGTGCCACGCCCCGCATAGGGCGGAGTGTACTTAAAGCTGACTCCAACGGCGGAGCCCACTGCAATATCATCCATCTGTAAAGAGCAAGAAAATATTTTTTATTTGGGTTTTTGGCCCAAAACTATAAATCTATGTACCAACCTCGAACTTCAGAGGCTTCTCAAGGCCCGGTCCCTCCACGATAAACACACCCTCGTGCAAGGTAATGGGAAGTGGATTGACCAGGGTGCAGCTCACATCCATCTCATTTTTGGCTACGATGCCAGTCCTTCCCATATTGATATTAATGTCCGGCTTGCGCACTCGGAAGTCATCCTGGGCATAGTAATCGTAGTCGGTGTCCTTAACCTTGGCTGCTGCGGAGATCTGGAAGGCGGCCTGCGAGGATAGCTTATCGAAGTACTCCTCAAAAATGACCTCCATGCGAACGAAGTCGCTACTCTTGGGCTGCAGTTCCAATTCGAAGCCCAGGGTCTTGACCTCCACGGCACCCACTCCGGTGTAGAGAACGGCATCGCAACTGATTTGACCCGTGGCCAAGTGGGTGCGACTGTCGCTCTTGTTGGTCACCTTTAGGACCACACTGAAGCTTTCCCCGATCTTGATGTCGTCCTTCAGCTCCATATCGAACTCAATCTCGTTGAAATTGTCGTTCAGATAGTACCGACTAAAGGCGTGACGGGATTGCTTGAGGGCCTTGAGCATAGTGCTTCTTTCTTCCTCGGAACGCTCTGCATGTTTGTAGGTATCAGTGAGGTCCTCTCTTTCCCATTTCAGGACCGCCTTGGTGCTGATCAGATGGCCTATGGCCAGGGTGTCCTTCCTGAGTAGCTTCAGCGGTTGACTGGGGCCATTGTAGCGCCAGTAGAGCTTATCCGCATTCACCTCCGCGAAGACAAAGCCACCATCGAAAGAACTGAGGATGTCACCGTTTTTCACAGCCAAAACAGATGTAGGACCCACTCGGTACATATCATCGGAGGCCTCCTGCGGAGTGGCATCCACCACCTGCCAGCCATCGTAGGTTCCAAACTGACCCACTCCCAAGTCCGGTCGCTGCATCCACAGTTCGTTCCACACATGATAGTCCCTTATTGAATCCACAGACTCAGCGTACATTTTTTTGTTATTCTGGTCTAAAAACACATCTACTGTCAAAGAGCCTTCGGAATCATAAGCAGCGGAGAAGCAGGTGACGATCCTAGTCGGTATTCCCAGACTCCTGGCAATAGTGGCCAGGACACCGCTATACACCCAACACTGAGCATACTTCACTGGCTTTTCGGTTTTGTAGAACTGCTGCAGGATCTCCGTCGAACCGGTCCACTTAAAAGGTGCGACACCGTCCGAAAAGTCGTTCGAGCATTTGCCCACTACTATACCATCGTTGTTCACTGAGTTCACCAAGGCCGATAAAGCCCGAGCCACTCGAATGGGATCACCTCTAAAGGCTGGAGGTATCCTGCCCACAGTTCCCAGGACCTTCAAGCTGCACTCGAGCACATGACGTTCAAATTGTCCGATTTTCCAAGCCGAAGGACGTGGGTTGTTGCAAGATCCCCTCCAAATGAGCGTTGTATCGTGCATCACGTACTCCTTGCGCTGGTCACGATCCTTAAGATAAACCCGGTCATCCGGACACCAGGGATTGAAGAGCACATAGATGGGAAGTGGGAGGGGATAGCTCCTTGATCCATCGCCCAGAAGCTTGGTGTCGATGTCCAGTTTCCACACCGCCACAGGACAGTTGGATGGCGGTTTGATTAGCACGGTGAGCACTTGACCTTCATTGGATTCAATGCCAGCCCACCATTCCAAAGGGTCCCCTAGATAATCAGTGCCATCATGGAGGGCCACAGCACTCAGGGTCCCCTTTCCAGAAGTCGGTTTGGATTCATCGGCCACGGTGAAAATGAAGCTGATGGCATCTTTGCTGGGATTGAAGTCACGATCGAAATGGATCTTTAGCCTGAAAGGCTCTCCCCTTCTCACGATCAGTGCTTCCTTGGCAGCCGCCGTATAAAAGTGACTTGTGTGGTGTTCATCGTGGTTGTCCTCTAGGCAGAGATCTAATTCTAGAACCCGCAGAACAGCTGATTTGGTGGAATCTGTCAAATCGGATACAGAATTTTATTAGTGGTTTAATCCTGTAATCGTGGTAGTAATTTAATGTAGAGTATAAGAGAATATGGTTTTGTATTATAAACTTTTTAAGTGAATCCTAAAGGGGTTTAAAAAGTATCCATATATATAAAAACTTGTCAAAAATACAAAAGTTAAAAAAAAAAACTAAAGAAAATAAAAAAAAATACAGTCAAAGCAACGTATTTTCCGATTTATATAATTCACATATATTTGAAGTGTGTCTATTTTTTTGAGTTTATAGAATTGATATTTGTTCCTTTGTACATTTAAATATACCTTCCAAATCTGTTGATGGTCTAGTACTGAGGAATGGGTTTCTTCTTGGCTGCTGAGAATTCATTTTAAGCCAAAATTAATTCTTTCTTAAAAATATAACTTAAAAGGCTTTACTTCCAAATAATTTTAAAGGAAACCGTTCGTTGCTTTTCGATGTGAACGTCTCGAAACTGAGAACTCAACTACTTTTCTTACTCTCAACGATGATGATTTATGAGTAAGGGATAGTGTCCCTTAAAAACAACAATGAATAATACTTGTGATAGATGCCCTCAAAATATTTTCATCAACATTTTTGAAATGTTTTTTTCTAAAGAAAATACATAATTAGTTAAATATTGCTTTAGAAAGATAATGTTGATAACATTTAGTTTCATAAAATTATAATATTTTAGGTGAAGGTTAAATAACATCTAAAGAACTTTAATAATTAAATATTTTGGAAATGGGTGATGTTCGTAACCAATGTTATCCGCAGCACTCAAAAAATCATTTAGTTAAGGCAGTCCAGGCGCCTAGTTGCACCCGCTGCAGATTATAATTGCTGATCAGCATATTCTTTTCAGTGTCAATGCTTTGATTCGACGTCCCACTGACTCACCGTGCAAATCGACGTCATCGCATTCTGCAGGGTCAGCCAAGCTAATTACTCAAATTGTTATCATAACCGAAGTTCACTGAACTACTGCAGAATATAACTCATTCCACTTTACATTAAAATGTTATCCAAGTGGTATAAACGCATTTATCTAGTTAAGATAAATTAGACGTCGATTCACCTTATAACGCGGTTCTACTTTTTACCTCCGGGAATAGGGCTTCTAATGACATCCTGACTGACAGAACAAAGGTACAAACTCAACATCAAGTGTCTCTCTGTCTCAACTAGCAGCTAACCATCCTTAGCTCACCTCGTTAGCTGATTAAAAATATCATCTATTTATCTTTTTAGTTTAAATATCAAAACATTAATATGTATCATTATTACAATTTACAACATATCACTTAACCTACGAAATACAAAAGGAAATTCATTGCAACTAGGGTTAGTTTAGGCTACAACATCGGTGCGTCTGCGGATGATGTTGCTCCTCCGGTGGCTTCCATTGGGCTGCAGCAGATCCTCCGGTCGGGGCTCAATTTCGTAATGCTTATAGCCATCCACATCGTCCAGTTCCTTGGAGGTAAACTTGGCCAGCATTGTGCCACGCCCCGCATAGGGCGGAGTGTATTTGAAGGTTGCGGCGGCAGTGCCATTCACTGGAATTTCGGCGATCTGCAAGAGGATAAGGAGAAGGTTTTTATTATTAAAATACTTTCATAACCATATAAAGCCAGCAGAAATAGTGGGTTTATATTAGATTGGATATATTATTGTTAGTTAGATAATCTTTAATTAGTCTATATAAACCCACCTTAAACTTCAGAGGCTGCTCAATGCCCGGTCCTTCCACTGTGAACACTCCCTTGTGCAGAGGAATGGGCAGCGGATTCTCTAGGCGCAGAATAACATCCAGCTCCTTCTGGGCCACGATTGCAGCGTCTCCCAACTGGAACTTAATATCCGGCTTGCGCACTCGGAAGTCATCCTGGGCATAGTAATCGTAGTCGGTGTCCTTAACCTTGGCGGCTGCGGAGATCTGGAAGGCGGCCTGCGAGGATAGCTTGTCGAAGTACTCCTCGAAGATGACCTCCATGCGAACGAAGTCACTGCTCTTGGGCTGCAGTTCCAGTTCGAAGCCCAAGGTCTTGACCTCCACTGCACCCACTCCGGTATAGAGAACGGCATCGCAACTGATTTGACCCGTGGCCAAGTGGGTGCGACTGTCGCTCTTGTTGGTCACCTTTAGGACCACACTGAAGCTCTCCCCGATCTTGATGTCGTCCTTTAGCTCCATGTCGAACTCTATCTCGTTAAAATTGTCGTTCAGGTAGTACCGACTAAAGGCGTGACGGGATTGTTTGAGGGCCTTGAGCATAGTGCTTCTTTCTTCCTCGGAACGCTCCGCATGCTTGTAGGTATCCGTAAGGTCCTCTCTTTCCCATTTTAAGACCGCCTTTGTGCTGATTAAATGGCCTATAGCCAGGGTGTCCTTCCTGAGGAGCTTCAGCGGTTGACTGGGGCCATTGTAGCGCCAGTAGAGCTTATCCGCATTAACCTCCGCGAAGACAAAGCCACCATCGAAGGGTCTTAGGATGTCGCCGTTCTTCACCGCCGAAACAGATGCAGGACCCACTCGGTACATATCATCGGAGGCTTCCTGCGGAGTGGCATCCACCACCTGCCAGCCATCGTAGGTTCCAAACTGACCCACTCCCAAGTCCGGTCGCTGCATCCACAGTTCGTTCCACACATGGTAGTTCCAAATCGAGTCCGTGGTCTCCGCATCCAACTTCTTGTTGTCCGCGTCGATGAATACATCCACGGTCAAGGAGGCTTGGGTATCGTGAGCGGAGGAGTAACATGTGATGATTCTAGCCGGTATTCCCAGACTCCTGGCAATGGTGGCCAGGACACCGCTGAAATTCCAGCACTGAGCGAACTTCACCGACTTTTGGGTCTTGTGGAATTGCTGAAGGATCTCCACGGAACCTGTCCACTTTGTGGGTGCAACACCGCCGGAGAAATCTTCCGACCAATTGCCCAGTAGGACACCATCGTCGTCCACCGAGTTCACCAGAGCGGACAAAGCCCGAGCCACTCTCACGGGATCACCTCTATAGGCGGGTGGAATTCTGCCCACAGTTCCCAGGACCTTCAAGCTGCACTCGAGCACATGACGTTCGAATTGTCCGATTTTCCAAACCGAAGGTCGCAGCCTGTTGTAGGATCCCCTCCAAATGAGAGTGGTATCGTGCATCACGTACTCCTTGCGCTGATCGCGATCCTCCAGATAGACCTGGTCATCCGGACACCAGGGATTGAAGAGCACATAGATGGGCAGTGGGAGGGGATAGCTCCTCGATCCGTCTCCCAGGAGCTTAGTGTCGATGTCCAATTTCCACTCTGTTACAGGACAGGTCGAAGGTGGCTTTATCAGCACGGTGAGTATTTGACCTTCATGCGATTCGATGCCAGCCCCCCATTCCAGAGTGTCCCCCAGATAGTCGATGCCATCATGGGGCACCAGGGCATTGAGGGTTCCGTGTCCCGGACTCGGTTTGGTGTCATCCGCCACCGTGAAGATGAAGCTGATGGCATCCTTGCTGGGACTGTAGTCCCTGTTGAAGTGGATCTTTAGCCGGAAGGGCTCTCCTCTCCGAACAATCAGGGCTTCCTTGGCAGCCGCCGCATAGAAGTGACTCGTGTGGTGCTCATCGTGGTTGTCCTCCAGGCAGAGATCGACTCTCATCACTCCCAGCACAGCTGAACTGGCGGCATCTGTTAATTTAAAAACAAAATTTTGGTTACCAACTATATACAGTAGTTCAAATTTGACTGAGATCTTTCTATTTAAAAAATCATAAAAAGTACAAGGAACAAGATTTTGAAATTTTGTTTTTTGCAGTTACTATTAATTTTGCTTGGGGAAAAACTTTGCATCAAAACATTTATTTTTAAAGCCCCAGTGAAAAAACTTTAAAATTTGACTTTCACAAAAAATTGTCTAATTTTCTAACTTTTCAAAGGGTGCTTAATGGGCAAAGAATATTTTTGTGTCATTTAAACGGAATTGAAGTGCTCTTTCTATAGGTGCCAAAATGTTTTTATTATACATTTATTAATATTTATTTATTAATATTTTAAGTGGTCTGTGAAAATTAGTAATTTTTTTTAAAAGCCTATATTTACCCCATTGAATTAATAAATATCCCAAATACTTTTCGAATATTCTCTTCGTAAGTAATAATTAGTATTTTGACAGGGTCTGAATAAAATCTGTCAGCAATTAGTTGCCGCTTTCAAAAGATCTTTTTGCGTAGCTTTGTTTTTCCTGTGGCAGACGATGATATCATAAAGCAAATGTGCTGCCAGTTGTATTCCCCAAAGCTGCAGCATCAAATTGACTAATCGCCTTTGGCCATAAACATAACAAACTTGTGCCACAATGGCCAAAAGATCAATGCCAGGCCAATTAATTTTCGTAGTGGACAATCAAAGTGACGCCAACGCACCAATAGCACTAACAAAAAAAAAACATATAAATAAAATAGGAAAACAAAATTTAGCAAAAATAAAAGCCATATGTTTTGTGAAAATAATGTCTACCCAACTAAAAAATTAAAAAAAAGTTTTAAAGGTTCATCAAACCAGAAAAGAAATTAATGTTTTAAATATTTGGTTGATATAATAGAATAACAGTACCTACTAATTATGCCAAAATATATTCCTTTCTTTTAGGTAGAGGTAAAAGTTCAAGAAAACAATTTTTTTATAAGTGAAACTCAATTTATTGGGGTCACTTAGGGTCCCATTGCTGAACACAAAAATAGATTTCTTTGATTGCTTCTTCCAAACATCATAAGATTTCGTTCTGTATAAATAATAATAGCTCTTTAGAAGTAATCGCTTTTAGTGATAAAGCATATTAGTCAAACAGGAATTACTTGCAATTATGATTTATGGGGCCATATGTTTCCACATGGCTGAACTGGTCACCCTTTCTGCTTCGCTTTCATCTTCTATCAAACACAAAAATAGAAAATCTTCTCAGATAGAAAATTTTCAATTGCAATATGCATAAGTAAATAAATCGATCAGCTCAAATTTTTGTTGAGTATTGAAAGTGAGGATATTTGTGTTGCTATGTGTTAATATATTACTCAAAGTAGTGAATAGTAGAACCGCCCAAAACGTGTCAAATCACCAAACACGCGAATTCCGAAACGGAAATAGGAATACGCAAAACAAAAGCACACAAAATGAAGTCATAGACCAATAACAAACAATATGTGAAAAATTATATAAAATACCAAAGTAGCTTTAAGCAACATGTGTCACTCAAAGATTGTTATTCTTGATATCGATCTTGGTTTGATTGCATATTTTATATAAATCACTTTATCAGTCTTCCAAACATTTCACACAAAAATTCAAAAATAAAACCAGTCACAAAAAAATGCGCAAAGTGAAGTCATCTACCGTAAAAACCAAACAACTTAAAAACCAATTCAAAATAATTTGCATGAACACTTTTGAATTCGACAAGTTATTTATATATTTTCACTTGTATTTTCATTGGGGAACCCTTTTGAACCCGTCAAGCAAGCAGCTCAGGAATTTAAATGAAAACAAAACACAACGGAATGAAGTCATAGACCGAAAAAATAAATTACCAAACCAATTAAAATCAAATTTTAGTGATTCACAGATATTAATGGTGATGTTACGCTATTATAGCTATGTAATTGGTGGTTAATCCTTTTTTTGTACTAGATGTACTTAGGTACCTTCAAGATCGGCTGAAGGTCGTGTGGTGCGGAAAGGATTCACTCTTCGGGGCTGAGAATTTGGCCACCATCGCTGCAGCCAGCTGGGCGTATAATTCCGATACCAATAGCTCATTTCTGGCTTCCGGCTAATACGATTCGGTTAACAAAGAAGACCGCTCTAGGCCACAATTTATGTGTTACGGTAAGCTCGAGACGATAGCACCGGTAATAGCGACAAAAGAAGAATAAAGCTAACGGAAACTGCGCTCTAAAGATTCTTTTTACTGGACCCGCTCGTAGAACTTTCGATGTGAACACCGCAACGCTTTGAACTTAACTGATCGGAAATTGTGTGGACCTAATAGTTTCGACTGCGATGCGTATCTCTCTCTCTCAGCGAATCTCTCGCCTTCTCTCACTCTGAGTTCTGATGGGTTATTATTAATTATGGACGGGAAGCCTAGCTTCAGGGCAACTCCGATGGACCCGTTGTGGCCAAGAAACAACTACGTCATCGTTCATTGGCAACATCTTGATCGAGATGGTCATTAAGTGAGCATCGAGTGTTTGGCTCTCCAGATCGATTCTCTTGCCAAACACCCATCATCAATTTGCATTGGCAATTTAAGGCTTGCTCTTGTTAATCATTTCATTGGCTGTTTATCATTATTTATCGAATAAATTTCACATTTTTGGAGGTACAAACTGCTGTGTAAGCTCTCTGTCAGTCAGCAGGTGTTTCTTATTTTGTTTATTTTAATTCAATTTTCCAAATTGCAGGTATAAAATGAGTAATTCGAGGGGCAGAACTACACTGTGGGCAGCAAAGCTATGAGTGTTTAACACCCACGGCATCAATTTTGCATTCATAAAAGGCAATAACTATAGAACAGAATGCATAATTGTTCGAATCAGTGCCATACACTTCCAAGTAAATCAATTTTAAACGTTCGTCAGCGGAACCCAAAGATCAAATCTAATTTAATGGACGTGTAATATAAAATAAATAAATTAATAGGATTAATAAGGAACATTGAAATCGAAGGCAAACATATACATAGATCAAAGTAAAAAACTAAAATTTACAGATTATTTGATAATTATATTTCAAATAATGTTATTTGTAGGTCTACAGATTTTAAATATGTCATATATTTGTTATTGGTCGTAAAAACTTAGAATGTTGCCACAAAAATACTGCAGTTTTTGTAACAACAATAATTTGTAGACACTTAATGAATGTTAAAATTAACTATGTATATCAAAGCAAATGTATTAAGTTAAGTTTAAAAATGTGAATAAGGTTTCACGAAATTTCCTACCCACAATTACGATATTTATTATGCCGAACAGACTAATAAAGCTTCAGCACTGAATTCCAATTCGATTTAGCTTTTTTGGTTATCTTCACTCACCTGTTTCGTCTTTTTTTGGAGCGCCTGCAAAATAGTTGGCATTGACATTGCGTATACGCAGGGTTGGCTCGTCGTTTCCTTTGCCTCTGCACCATTTGCAATCGTCGCACTTTTTGCAACACGATAGCTTCTGACCCATGTCTCAAGTAAAACTACGGCCAAGAATGTATGAGGTATTATCCAAATGCAGGCGTTGGGCAAACCGGTTCGCCTGTCAATGATAAGCCGTAGTTTGTTGATTCTCCGATTGATTTTGTAGGAGTGGTATGTTTGAACTTCACTATAACCCGACGTTTGCGCTGTCCTCAGTTAACTGGCGTGTCATTTTTGGTTAAACTGCCCGCGGAATGCGAAATTGAGACAGTTTAAACTGTAACAGCTGTGATCACGTCATCGCCGTCAACGGAGGTGAATCGAAGCGGACTAGAACGCTCCAACATTCGAATGATACTGATTAGGTCTGCTCTCCGTCGAACCGCTGAGACGTCTTCCCCAAAGTGTTCACATTTTACATACCATATGCCTAGTTGACCCCAGTGTCAGCTAGTCGACGGCCTCGGGTGTCCAAAAACCAGACATGCGTGTGTAAATTGATCACTGAATCATTATTGACTTTGATTGCTACTTGTGGCGGATTCTCTGCGGTAATTGTTTGGTTCAGGTAACAAGGGTGAGCTGCTAAAGGGGTGTGGCTGACTTTAAATCTTTTTGAGTTCTGTCAACTTTGACAACAGTGAATTGCGTAAAGGTAAATTTCTTGGAAACTAAACTTCAAGCAACAAAAATATCGCACGATTGATGAGCATCTTGATGATTTTACTTATATCAGGTACCAGTATTTTTGATGATGTGCAACAGAATTTAGCAAAAACAAAATGATTTTACTTTAAATTTTTAAAAACTAGGCAAGAAACGAAAACATCTACTTCTCCTGTTAAATGAGCCGATCCCACACCACTTCTTTAGCATATATTCCTGTGAATCCTATTTTTTAGACCAAATATATATTGACTGTGAAAAAAATGAGTAAATTAAGTAAATCTTCGTAGTCGAAGACCCTCCAGCTAGCACGACAAACCCCTACAAAAGTCTTAGTTTTATAAACTAATCATCTTAAATAAATAAATATATATATTGAATTTTATGTAATAAGCACTCTGTTTAAAATTATTTTTTCGACATCCATTTTGAAACCACTTTTTAAGATTATTGTATCCTTGTCTTTTTTTTGTGATTCAATATGCCAATATAACTATATTAGGAAATGTGTAAATATTTGATCTGCGTACATTGGTTTCTGTCGAGATATTCCAACAGCTTTTGAGTAATAGTGAGTTACCTAAAACTATGCATTTCTAATATTTATGAAAATTTTAAAATATTACTTTTTTCAGTGATGATCGGACTCTTAAACATAAGTAATGACCATGGCATGACCAATAAAAGCCAGTCAACTATTTGCTTACAAAAATACTTATCATGTCTTAATCATTTCACTTTGATTTTCATTGCATCTTCAACCATTTCAAATTTTTTCCCATATTTTTGAAGGACTAAACCAGCGGTCGGCAGCGCCCTATTAAGTGAGCATAGGGTTTGGTTCTGCCGGCGCGCTGTTCGCACACGTATAACGTAGAACAGCGGACTGCACACACACATCGATGAGCTGCCCAGTGCAAATTACTCACACAAATATAAAACAAAATGTCAACGTATGTGTGTGCCGACCGCTGGACTAAACCTTAAAGGTTTTCCTGTTGTTATTCGAACCCATTCAACAAGTTTCAACAGCTGTTTGCGATTATTCGATGGAAACGCAAAAATGAGTATAAGTTCTATCGAATTTAAACTGATTAGGACGGTGCGATACTCAGAAGGTGTCTATATAAGAGTAACAAACATGTGTTCTGTCTGTTAAAGTAAGAGAAAACAACTCAAAGAGATGGAAATAATATCTTCATGGGGTTGGTTGTATGTATGAAAACATCTGCTCTTTTCAGTACCTATCATTTTGTTACAGTCCCAGCAACAATTTCAATGGGTTCTACTTCGCTAGAAATCGCTCGCGATCAGTGGCCTGAACTGAGAAATTTATATGCCAGTGATCGCACAAATCTCACTGGTTTTGACCTTATCGAATACTTTATAAACTACAAGCCCACACCCAGTGTCGAGTCAATTAAGATATATACAACCGATAAGGATTGGATTATACATGGCAGCTATATACTTACAGTAAACAGTTATTTTGCACTATTGTAAGGCTGAGCGATTATATGCCAGATCTTTATTTCAGCATCATTTTGATACCAAGGCATATATTTACCTTGATACCGTTAGAGGTTCCCTTGAAGATTTAAGGTCTTTATTGTGCTCTCTAAATCCGAAAAAGTTCCATTTGATCTGTGGCTATGAAGAACGTTTAAAGCCCATAGTTGAGAGCTATTGGTTACATTTGGGTCAAGATTTGGAAAAACTAGAACATCAGGGCACTATTGTCTATCACCTGCCTAGCAACAAAGTTCCAAATTGGGAACCAAGGTAAGATGAACTTACTATATTTAAGATAAATTAATTGTATGTCTTTATCCATCCCTTTAGTTTGTATCCCTCAATTAAAGTTGCTTATCTTAGCTCAAAATATGCTGACTTGGTCGACCAACACTGGGCTTATCGCTCGGCAGATTCTATACCTTTGATAAGGGGATTTATGGAGAACAACGTTAGTGCCGGTGTTTTCGAAACCCTTGGAGAACCCTTAGCTTGGTGTCTCAGGTGAAGAAAATGACTATATATAGCTCCCAATTTGGTTTACAACATCCTGTATTTTTACAGATCTCCTCATGGCAGCCTGTGCAACTTGCACGTTCTACCTACACATCGTCGTAAAGGATTGGGATCTTTGGCAGTGCTCTTCATGGCACATGAGATTAAGGCCACAGGTTCTGAAGTTCTGGCCACAGTTGTCCCCGAAAACCAGAGTTCCCGAAAAATGTTTGAGAAATTAGGTTTTAAAGATACAAGCAAACTGTATTGGGCAGTGATGCCATCCACACCTTAAATAAATCTAAAATCACTAATAATCTATAAGTCAAAAGGTATCAAATGTCGACTTTACCCGGTGAAATTTTTGTTTATTCGCTTTAATTTGCCTCGAAATATAGCTAGTTTCGCAAACATGTGTTCCTATATCTCTCTTCTTTCTCATTTCCAGTGCAAATTCTCTTAAATTCAGAACACTGAAAATATAATTCTCTTGGTTCGTTTTGCTTTTAAAGACTAATTTAGTTCTCGATCGGCTTTCGCAGGGAGAGGTAGTCATCATGTCGGAGGAGAATTCATTGATTGAAATCCCCCGCAGCGAGTGGACTAAGCTGCGAGATTTGTATGTCCATAAAGATACCGATCCCCAAGGCTACCCATGCATTAATAATTTTATCAAGTGGGTGGAGAATGATCCAGAACTTAAAGTTACATTCCTATCACTAAATGGCGACTGGCAAAAAGATGGAACCTTTGTTTTAACTGTAAGTAGTGCAATATAGTACATCTGTATTTTCTTATCCATTTTGTCTATATGAAGGTGGATTTGGGAACACCCCTTAAACACATATACTTTAACACTCTTGGCGACAATTTGGATCGTGTGACAAAGGCTCTAGAATGTTTAAACTCCTTTGAGAATAAATACGTATTTTTTGGATTTTGTTCTCGACTGAAACCTGCGGTAGAACATATTGGCAAAAAATACTACACCACCAAAGAACTTCTTATTGTGGACACCCTTTGGTATAGTGCAAGCAAGGAACTTATAGATACTTTTACCATTGAGTAAGTTTGTTTTTGTATAATTTCTTACAAGTTTTATAAGCCATTTTAATGCAGAGTTCCTTCTGGAATAACTCTTTTAAACCTGACTCCCGAAGACGCTGAAACAATTAATGAAATTTGGCCACATCGTGGACCCGGCTCAATAAACTTTGTTAAAAGTTTAATAAAGAATAATGTAAATCTAGGAGCCTATGATGACAACGGAAAATTGGTTGCCTGGTGTTTAAGGTGAGACATCGAAATATATTTATAGTATTCTGTTTCTATATTTATCATTAACTTTTTAGATTACCGATCGGGTCCTTGGGTCTGTTGCAGGTCTTGGAATCACACAAACGCCTGGGCCTGGGCAGCTTATTGGTGAAATCTATGGCCAAAAAGATTTCCGCACTAGGAGATCAAGTTCTGGCCCCAGTGGTCACCAAAAACACGGCATCGAGGGGCATGTTTGAAAAAATTGGTTTCCGATCTATAGACACAACGTATTGGGCTGATTAACAATATTACACGTACGGCCAACGTAAATACCAATAAGTGCATTAAACATTGTTAAATGCAAAAAAACAATTCTTGATCAGCTTGGTTATTCACACATGTGTATATAAGTGCTATTACTATTACGTTACATATAAAATATTTTGTTTTGTTAACTTTATTAAACGACGTTACAAAATTAATTAATTAATGTAGTGCTTATTTGGTAAAAATATGTTATTACTAGACATCGGATTTTAGGTGAAATCGTTTTTTTTAAATACGATTTAAAGCCACATTTGATTAGTTACAAATTTTATTTATTAACTTATATTTAGATTTAAGCCAAACTTTATTGAGGTTTTCGTACAAAAATTTTAATCAATCAAATGTGGCTTTAAATCATATTTTAAAAAAACGATTTCACCTAAAATCCGATGTCTACACCCAAAAAAAAAATCGACTGAAATCGCCCTTGGTTTTAGAAAATCGCCTATGAATTTGCTTCACTGGCGATTTTGTCTATATTAAAGAAAGTAGGTTTTTAAAATCAAAGAAGTTTTTTCCTAAAATCAAAAAAAAAATAGACTGCAATTTAGAAATTTTTTGCTAGAAAGTAAAAAAATATTTCTTCGAATTTAGAAATAAAGGTTTTCTAAAAAATTGAAATACGGTTTTTTTTAAATATAGACAAATATGTTTTAAGTAACAAAAAAAAATTTATTAAATTCAGAAAATACAAAAATTTATTTTCGGGCTTCGGAATTATACCCGGTTGTTTCTGTGACGCCACGGCCTTTGTGTTGTTTTTTTTTCGTTCTTGGTTGTCACCATATTTGATTTTCCTTTAATTGAGCACATGGGTGGTTTCAAATTGGAACTGTAATAATAACTGAAATGAGTATACAAATTACAAGTTATAAATATAAAAACCCAATAACTTACTATTTTGAGAAAAACATCTTATCTTGGTCGCCGCACGCGGGAATCGAACCGCTAAACGCTCGCCTCACAGTTTGTAGTCAAGCACTCTACTAGCTGCGCCACGGAAGCATCACGTGAGGCGCTGTACAAAGTCTATTCACATTTTGTTCTCCTATTTTTACTCAAATTGATCTGGCTCTCTTCTGGTTATTCCTTTTAGTTGTTCATTTAATTTTGCTCTTAAATATTTATTGATTAATAATAATATTTATTATGGTTCAATAGTAACAGTAATTGAATGTTTCAAATTTGAAAAACTTAAACATCATTTTTATCAAAATATAATTATTCATGAGCTAAAAAAAAATGCAATACATTTTTTTTATTAATATGTAACTATTAGTGTTAAAAAAAAAAACAAAAAGACACCATTAGTTTTTCGTCTCGACGTGGGTTTGAACTCACTCTTGCAGCCGCAAGCTTGAATAACATATGCATGCACGCACGCGTTAGACCCCTAGGCTACCAATCCCGAAAATTTTCTTCGATTAATAGCGATTTTTTCTTAGGCTAAAAAATAATTTTCTAAAAAGTATATAAGAAGGGAAATCGATCAAATACGGTTAAATTTTTTATTTCCTAGAAAAATATTTCTTAATATCACACATTTTTTTCTAAATGTTAGAAAAATCTTCAAACATTTTTTCTGTTTTTAGAAAAACAATATTTCTATTATGTGGAAATATTTATAATTTTAATGGCAATTTTTTTTTAGTTTTAGAAAAGTTCAGTCTTTTTTTTTCTAAAATCAATGGCGATTTTAACCCTCAAAAAAAGAAAGGAATATTAGAAAAATAAACCTTATAATTTAGAAAAAAAATTGCTTTTTCTGTATTTCAGAAAAAATTTTCTAAAAAAACTCGTTCAATTCAGAATTTTATTGAAGATTAGAAAACTTTTCTGAAGATTAGAAAAATTTTCCTCTTTATAGAATATTTTTTTAAAGCACAGAAAAAAAGTTTTTTTCTATATTTAAGAAAAAATAATTTTTTGAGTGTAGTTATTACAATTCAAACCTCATTTCCTTACGCTCATAATAAGCTTTATTAACAGAATCATTTTATTTTGTTTTAAGAGATAACTCAAACGAAACTTATCATTCAGCAATAAGATAAACTTGTAAAGTATCGGATGCTAAGATAAAGGGTTTATCCATTGACCACATTTCGCACTTATCTAGAAATCAAGAGGTATCAAATACCAGTATTTACCTCGTAATTTCGGTAATTTTGAAAACATGTGTTCCCTTATCTGTGTGTCTCTCTCAACTGAAAATTCTTTAAGATCCAGAACTCAAAAAATATATTTCTCTTGGTTCGATTTGTTTTTAAAGATTAGTTCTCGATCGTCTTTTGCAAGAAGAGGTAGTCATCATGTCGGAGGCGAATTCATTAATTGAAATTCCCCGTAGCGATTGGACTAAATTGCGAGATTTGTATGTCCATAAAGTTACCGATCCTCACGGCTTTCCATGCTTAAATAATTTTATCATGTGGGTCGAGAATGATCCAGAACTGAAAGTTACATTCCTATCATTAAATGGCGACTGGCAAAAAGATGGAACCTTTGTTTTAACTGTAAGTACCCAGAGAACAGAAACCGCATAGGCACACATTTTTATACCCTTGTAGAGGGTATTATAATTTCAGTCAGATGTTTGCAACGCAGTGAAGGAGACGTTTTCAACCAAATAAAGTATATATATTCTTGATCAGCACCAATAGCCGAGTCTATCTAGCCATGTCCGTCTGTCCGTCTGTTCGTCTGTTCGTCTGTCCTTCTGTCCGTCTGTCCGTCTGTCCGTTTCTTTGCGAACTAGTCTCTCAGTTTTAAAGCTATCGCGATGAAACTTTCCCGAAAGTCTTCTTTCTATTGCAGGTAGTACATATGTCGGAGCGAGCCGGATCGGACCACTATATCTTAAGGCTCCCATAGGAATATTCAAACGTATATAAGAAAATTCATTGTTACTTTGTAGGAAGTAGGCGTTTTAATTCTTGACTACTTAAAACAGGCTTGAGAGTCTGGTTCTCTTTCAGAATTGTGAAAAGGTCTGATTTTCTTTCTTTTCCTTATATCCCCCTCTCCCTTAAGTGATTACTTCAAGATCCTTCAAACTTTGAGTTTGATATGATATGTAGATTTTGTTCTTAATTTGATAACAATTTTGAGAAAACCATATTTAAAAAATCAATTTAAAACATGTGGAACTCAAAAAATGTCGTTTTTATTTGATCAACATTTTACACTCCGATGATAACGTTAGAATTATCTTTTTATACACCGTACGTCTTAATCCATTCATCCATTTTGTCAAAACCTAGGTGGATTTGGGAACACGTCTTAAGCACTTGTACTTTAACACTCTTGGCGACAATTTGGATCGTTTGACAAAAGCTCTAGAATGCTTGAACTCCTTTGAGAATAAATATATCTTTTATGGATTTGGTTCCCGGCTGAAACCTGCGGTAGAACATATTGGCAGAAAATATTACACCAAAGAACTGTTTATGGTGGAATCCATTTGGTATAGTGCAAGCAAAGAACTTGTTGATTCTTTTACTATTGAGTAAGTTTGTTGTTGTACTAGTTTACTAGTTTTTCAAGCTATTTTAATGCAGAGTTCCTTCTGGAATAACTCTTTTAAACTTGGCTCCCGAAGACGCGGAAACCATTAATGAAATTTGGCCACATCATGCACCCGGCTCAATAAACTTTGTAAGAAGTTTAATAAAGAATAATGTACATTTAGGAGCCTATGATGACAACGGAAAATTGGTTGCCTGGTGTTTGAGGTGAGATATCTAAATGTATTTGTAAGGTTCTGTTTCTATATTTTGCTTTACCTTTTTAGATTACCGATCGGGTCCTTGGGCCTGTTGCAGGTCTTAGAATCGCATAAACGCTTGGGGCTGGGCAGCTTATTGGTGAAATCGATGGCCAAGAAGATTTCCGCAATGGGAGATAAAGTTCTGTCACCAGTGGTCACTGAAAACACAGCCTCTAGGGGGATGTTTGAGAAAATTGGCTTTCGATATATAGGCACCATATGTTGGGCCTATTAACAATATTAAACTAATCTGTTTAAACGCAACATACAATTACATATAAATAAATGTGTGAAGTTTTTAGTTAACTCTTTTAAATATAATGTGATCTTCAAATATAATCAATTTTAAAGTTTCGTTATTCACCTTTCTTTTGTACTTCAAAATTATAGTCACGTTGGATTTTTTATATACATACGTCTACCGAAACGTGTGATACGATCTTTCTTTGTTTTCAAGTTGTCAAAGCCTTTCGAAATGAATTTCCGGATGATGTTTACTTTTTTTGATGTGTTCGGCCCTCGCAAAATATCTGATTTTAGGAAATATAAGCAGAAAGTGTTTTTTGTAAGAAACCAGAATGTCAGACAGCACAAAACAGACAAAAAGTTTACCAAACTTAAGAATATTATGATGCTGATAGGAGTAAAATTCGATAATCCTAATAAACAAAATTTTTTCAACAGGTCATCTATAGCCATTTAAAAATACCTATTATGAAATCGGAATCTTGTAATGTTCTCTAAAACGGGTTATACTTCAATTTAACGGAGTTTTCAATTAGCATTTGAGAATATTCTTAGGCATCGCTCAAAGGGCAAATTACTCATAATTTCCCAAGTAGTTTATAATGCAAGTCAGGCTTACTTTTAATTTACTACCGGTACGTGTGATGGCTTTTTCTATCGATAATAAAACCCATTTGCAAGTAGTTCTTATAGATCGACCCAGCATCGTGCTCATCGTATCCTAGCTCCGGGAAGTCCCCAGCTTTATCACAGTGCCAATGTGCGCAAACTTTCCAATGACAAAGCCCAGAATACGCATCTAACATAACTGCTATAGTATAGCTTATAAATTATTTAAAATATTTACTCACCGGCAGCGAGAGAACACACCTGATAGAGGGGGCCGCGAGAATTTTAGTATGTTCGTCACGGGTCGAGAAATACAGATAGACGTCAGGGAGAGAGAGAGAGCTCGAATGGATTTCCGCCATAGACTTCGAAGAATATTGAAAGGGGGCAGTACATCAATACAGAAAGTACCGATCGTTGAAGATCAATAACAAGTGCAGACATTGGCATCCATGTAAACAAACCCGGGGTATAACCAGTGACTCGTCGTCGGCGAAAAGCTCTACAAGATCAGCTGGGGATCAAGAGCGGATTGCGAGAGACCGGGGCTTGAAGGAGTGTGTTTTGTTTGCTTGATAACGAGTTTCCGATTCCAGTTTTATAAAGATTCGCGCTGAGTTCCCAACAGCTCAGTCTGGCTCTAACAACTCGAACAGCCGCATCGCGCTTAGCCCTAGAAAAATAAATATATATATTCCCACATATATATATATAGCCAGACCTATATATAAAGTTTGTTCTGTGTGCGTTCAAGATTAAAAAAATTACAAAATGTGGCGCTTGCTTTTGGCTCTGGCGTTGATCAGTGCGGTGTGCTGTGATTCGGACCTTTTTCGAGATGATCTGAGGACTCCGGAAGCGTTGGACTCCCTGGAAAGACTAAGACAAAAGCAGCAGATGCGGAAGCAACAGCAGCAGCAACAGCAGGAACCCCAATATATCCAGCCGATTCCCTTGCCAACTTCAGCGCCCCTGCAATCGCCCGGCCTTGTAAATGGCCTTGCCACCCAAAGTGATCCCGCGACAAATCGATTTTCCGGCAGTTCAGTAAAACAGCCCCAGCCGCAGCCGGCTGGCTATTCTACCGCCTACGTGGATCTGCCGATCTCCGATCAGATTGCCCAAAGTGTGCTGAATTTCGCGCATATTCTGGGCCAGAACTTGGGCTATCAGAAAACGGAGATCTTCTCCCCGTTGAGCATTGTCAACTCCCTGGCTTTACTACAGCTGGGCGCCAAGGGTCGCAGTTTCACGGAGCTGTCCTCTGTTTTTGGCATCACGGATACCATCCGGCTGCATGAGCAGTTCGGTTTAATGCTGCAGGATCTGCAGCAGCCCAACAGGGAGGGAATTTCGCAGGGACGACCTCTAACTAACTGGCGAGCCACCAGCCCAGTGAGATCCAATCGACGCGCCCAGAGACCCGGAGCCCACGAGGTGCACCTGGCCAACGGACTGTTCACACAGACCGGCTACTCACTCAACCCCGACTACAGGTGAGCTTCGCTGCGGATAATTGACTGCAAACTGGATCTAAAGCGAGATCTGGTTGGGGATGGGTGCTGGGAAAAGCCAGGTGATTAGCGTTGCCTTGGGGCCTTACACGGAGCAAAAATTCAGGGCTTTCGGGTGGATAAGTTCTTCTTACTTAAAAAAAGAGGTATTTTTAGGGTTTCTTTCATATGGAAGAGTTTCGATGAAGTTTTTTATTAGTCTTTGGACAAGAGAATTTATTTTATCCTTTTTAATTCCTCAAATAAGGGTTCATTATTATCCCATATTTTATATTTTCTATATTAAAGTATACTATCCATATCGCTAGTTGTAATAGTGTAACATTTTATATTAATTCTGAATAGAAACTTTGATTCTCGCGTAATTTTTTTCACCCAGTGTAGGGTTAGCAGTTGAGTAACGCACACATATAATTTCATATTTATTTATGATACATCTAAACACAAGCTTTCATTGAGGAATATATACGTACTTTGTTTACAATTTAATGGGGAACGGTCGTTAATCACGTTTATTTCAAATTTCCCAGCAAGATCGTTGGAGTGACAACAAATGAGAGAATAAAGAGAGAATAATATATATGATTGTAAAAGGTTAATAAGGTCAATGTGTGAAGCCAAGTAACCGGAACCGCAATGAAATTACAGATTTTCACCTAAGATAGGGCCTAAATTTTAATAATTCTTTCCAGATCCCTTATCTTATCAGTTAAAAAGCATGAGTTTCAGAAAGCCAAAAGATTTGAATAATACTGTTTACAGATAGGAACTTTTCAAGGTTTTGTTTTAGGTAATGGGAATTATTATAGATTATACAGCACTGACTTACCATTTATTTTAGTTTTGGATAAAGGTAAAGTTTTTGAAAGTTTGTAGCTTACTGAAGGTACATATTACAATTCCGACCCATCTCTAAACTTGCTCCACTTTACCCAACGACGTTTGCATACCCAATGGGTAACGCCTTATTGATTGATTACTCATATGCTCCGCTTTTGTGCAATTTCAGACGGGCGATCGCAGAGGTCTACGGGTCGAGTCTGGAGGTCCAGGATTTCGAGGCCAGTCCGGCGCAGGCGAGATATAACATAAATGCCTGGGTGGCACGTAATACGAACAACCGCATTCAGAACATAATCTCCAGCGATATTCCGCATAGCACCCGAATGATTCTGGCCAACGCCCTGTACTTCAAGGCCTTCTGGGAGACGGACTTCATTGACTCGGCCACTCGACTGGATAACTTCTATCCGAACGGCGAGGGAACTGAGCCGGCGATCAGGATCCAGATGATGGCCACCGGAGGATCGTATCCGTACCACGAGGATGCCCAGCTGGGCTGCAAGATCATTGGGCTGCCCTATCGGGGTAACCTGAGCACCATGTACGTCATCCAGCCCTTCAAGTCGTCGATGGTCGAACTGATGGCCCTGCAGAAGCGTTTGAGCCCGGAAAAGATCGAAAACTTGATCGGCCAGATGTACAGGCGACAAGCTCTGGTGGCCTTTCCCAAAATGCATCTCACCGAGTCCTTGAACCTGAAGACCGTCATGCAGAGAATGGGTCTGGGCGGCATCTTCAGCACCGTGCAGAATGATCTCTCGCTGATTGCCGCCAACGAAGCTTCAAGGACGAATTCGCTGGGCGGGAAGAGCCTCCAGAATCTGGAGGCCCAGCGAAATGCGGGCGGAGCTCACTCCGATTTGGTGGTGGACGACATTGTCCACAAAGTGGACTTCAATGTCAACGAGCAGGGAACGGAGGCGGCGGCGTCTACGGTCACGTACCTCAAGAAATCCGGTCCGGATGTCCTCTTCCGCGGAGACACCCCGTTCATGGTGCTGGTGCGCCACGATCCCACCAAACTGGTGCTCTTCTACGGCCTCATAAACGAGCCCCCAGCTGCCGCTTAGTCCCAAGGATATAAGATTATTAAGCTCTAGTTCCTAAGTTCGTTGACTCTTTAGTTAGGAAGCCGATAGATCATTTGAAATGATTCAAAATAATAAATTAAACAATAATAATAGTACACTCAAAATAAATTTAACCCTAAATTTTAGAAAATCGCCATTAAAATTTCTTTTTTCTAAATACAAGAAAGTTATTTCTAAATCTAAGGAAATTTTTCTTAAGTCAAGAAAGTTTTCCTTAAATCCAGGAAGTTTTTCTTAAATGTAGAAAATGGTTACCATGAACTAAAATCACCCTAAAATCTAGAAAAAATGCCCTTAAAATTAGAAATTATTTTCTGAAAAATAGAAAGGCAAACGAAAATAATAAAATATATTGGCAACACCTTTTCTAAAAATGAGTGTCCTAACCCTAAAATTAAGCTAACCCTAAATAATGGAAACATTTCCTAAAAAGTAGAAAGTTTTTCTAAAAAATAGAAATAGTTGTTTTCACATGCTCTGGCACACCAAAATGTTCAATGCCAGAACTTGTCAGCTGCCGGCCAGCTGTACTCGTGGCGCAGACCGTTAAAGCACTTGGTTAGCAATCGAATCGACGCGGGTTCGAGTCCCAGAGCAAAATTTTTTAACTTTTTTTTTAATGTTATTTTATTTTTTTTAATTTATTTTATTTTATTTTTATTTATTTTTTTACTTTTTTTTATTCCTTTTTTTATTGATGGCAAGCAGTAAACTAAAAATAATTAGGTTTATATTCAGTTATTTACTATATACTACACATAATATAAATTGCGATAGCATAAATATATGCATATGTATATACGTATGTAAATAAGTAAAATGCGAATGGTCAAAATTATGCAATTAGTATTCAAATGTGTTGTCCGCTTCACCCTTTACATACAATGCTCGGTTTGCCACAGCAAGTTTAAGTGCTACAATGGCCCAGTATGTAGGCCATTCGCTCCTCGCGCGGGAGACCCGGGTTCGATTCTCACGACGGACAAGTAAAAAATTGTAAGTTTTTTTCATGAACATAAAATATTAACTAATCATAATTTCTACATTCCCAATCTTCCGCAGTCCCGTAGTCCACATTTACAACCACATTTGGCTTTGGTTAGATAAGAAATCCAAGCGCAAATACATAATAATAAATACATAACCTTTAACATTCACAATATACAAGACACACAACGCCTGCATAATATGTATATAGGGAGGAGTACATAATATAAACGCATATACAAAAAAAAAATCATGATTGAACATGTTTTTTTGTTTTGTTTTTAATTTCTATTTTTTAGGAAAATTTCCTACTTTTTAGAAATTTTTGCCCTTAAAATTAGTAAAATTACCCTAAAATTTAGAAATATGACGTCAAAAAAAATCAAAAATATAGAAAAATGTGACCCTAAAATTTAGGGCGAGCTTGTCTTGAAGACAAAAGTAGGGCGATTTCCTTGACTTTAGGGTTAATTTTATTTTGAGTGTAAAACTAACCATGGGCATTTTTTATGGTTGGGTGTTCTGACCGTTTTAAAAATGGTACATATACGTACATATTTTTTACCACTCATTTTATATCCGATGAATAAGCCTTTAATCTTTCTATCCACATTGTTTTATTTAATTTATAAATTGTGTAGATGGCTTTTAGATTGACTTGGAAAGTAGTGAAGTATATAATTTACTTAATAACCTTAATATTTGGCGAAGTCCTTACATTTTCTTAAAATTTGTTATCCTTTAATTGTGTTTCCTGCAGCTTTCAATCAACAATTTCATGGGGCTATTTTTATGTTTTTCAATTTATTTAATTTAATGACGAATCAATCAAAAAACTTTAAGATATATTTATTTATTTTAAATTCAAATTTATAACGAATTTGTAACCAACCGGTTATGTTATCGCAACGGTTATGTTAACTATCCGGTTGCGACTAACATGCCCCTGCTAAACGAGCAGCTGTTCACCCTCACCCACTTTCCAACACTGTTTTTAGCCGGAACTTTAATTGCGAATTGTTTTTCCCGAGTTTTAGGTGGTTTTAGGTTAATTTAACGTTTAAAAAATAATAAAACCGAACCAAAATGATGTCCCTGCCCGACACGGATAGTGAGGATGAGCTGCCACCCGGCTGGGAGGAGCGGGCCACCGATGACGGCACCGTTTGCTATGTGAAGTAAGTCAAGGGTCAAGTGGAGTCGTTACTCAAAGATAATAAAAAGATATTATTTGTACCATTAGCCAACAGGGCAAAACCTCGCAGTGGACACACCCGCGCACTGGTCGCTCCAAGCGGATTACGGGGGAGCTGCCGCTGGGCTGGGAGAAGTACTACGATGAACAGGGAAAGCGGTTCATGTTCCTGAACAAGGAGACGCAGCAGCGGACGAATGTGGATCCCCGTTTGGCCTTCGCCGTGGAGGAGCCCACGCAGAATGTGGCCCAGGTGCGCCAGAGATTCGACTCCTGCTCCACGGCCCTGCAGGTTCTGCATGGCAAGGATTTGCATGGACGCACTGCCTTGATTACGGGCGCCAATTGTGGCATTGGCTACGAGACCGCCCGTTCGCTGGCTCAGCACGGCTGTGAGATAATCTTCGCCTGCCGCAATAAGACCACCACCGAAGCGGCCATCGAAAGGATCGCCCAGGAACGACCTGCAGCACGGGCACGCTGTCGTTTCGCAGCCCTCGATCTCAGCTCCTTGCGTTCAGTTCAGCGATTTGCCAAGGAAATCAAGCAGAGCGTTAGGTAAGTCATCTTAACTACTCTTAACTACATTTTAAGTTAAATCTTTATATCTTATATTGCAGCCACATTGATTATCTCATCCTGAACGCGGGCGTATTTGCACTGCCCTATACTAAAACGGAGGATGGCCTGGAAACCACATTCCAGGTCTCCCACCTGTCGCATTTCTACCTGACATTGCAACTGGATACGCTGTTTGATTACAAAACACGGATCGTTGTGCTGTCATCCGAGTCGCACAGGTAAGTCGGAATTTAAGCACAATAGCACGTTCATAGATATAATGGTTATGGGCTATGAATGTTACGATTACCCAGTGGTTTTCAATCCTTATTTTGTCAGTTATAAGGCTTACAATCCATTATTTTTTTCTTAACTTACCCACGCGCTCATTTTCTTCTTTGACAACCGCCCTAAATCAGTTAACTATCTATTGCGGAAACCAGAGCTAAATAATTATTCCTAACAATTGTTTTCGCTAAACAAAAGGAGTTCTTATCTCAATCTTATATGCTTATAATTAAAAATTTTTTCAGTTTATTTTTATCTTAATTTAGCCACGCGTTCATTTCCTTCTTCGACACAGCCTTAAAGCAATAAACCATCATTTGTAGAACGCGCGGAGCAAAATAATTTTTGCTAATACTTGTTTTTACCAAACAAAAAAATTTCTAATCTTAATCTTATAAGCTTATAATTGAACATATTTTCCTTATAAGAATTATCAAGGAAAACCATTTAGTTGCAAATATTAAAAAAAAAATAATTACTTAAAGTTCACACAGTTCAGAATAATTATATTATAATTTAATACTTTTGAATATTTTTGCTGATCCCTATCAGTAGCCCTTGGGATTGCCTTATATGTAGCCTTATTGAAAACATTCGAATCCAGCTTGTTGAATGTTTATCACCTACTTTGTGAAGAATTTTAAGTTTGGAAAAATACCTTTTGTTTGAAAAAACATTAATTGTGAGTTTCTTTCAAATATCAATTGGAATCAGTCGAATTTCTCTTAGTGCTCCATTTAATTCAATTTAGCTAATCTGTTGATCAGTTACATTTTTTTATTGCCGACACTGTAAATCTCGTTTCAAAGTTCCAGCGTTTGCCGGCAAGCACTTGCCATTATAGCAACCTGTTATTCTGTTTTCGTATAAAGTAATTTTTGCTAAAATCACATGGATTTTAATTAATTGAAGTTGAATTTGGCATATGTCATATTCTAAAAATATTAATTTTTTATTCAGTTTATAAGTTGTCAGAAAGTAAATATAAATGGCTGTGATTTGATTTTAAATTCAGTCTGAATCCTATCGATGTCCAAAATGCGAACATGTCTTTTTGATTTTTAAGGAAAAATGAACGAATCAATAAGGATATAAAAATAGATATCAAATATTACAGAATTTCAAAATAAATAAAATTAGAACACAGTGGATAACTTATAGTCGGCAGACCCCCTCAGCTTTGAATATGTGTCTGGCATTCCAAGTTGTCTTCTTTTATTTTTGCAAGTTGATTGCACTTTTATGAATCCGCATAGTGGACTTTGGACCGACCGGTTTCTTTTCGCGCTTTGGGGCCAAACTATTCATAGCGCAGGCCAGAAATAAATGTATTCCGCCTGAAACATGCCGGCTAGTGTAGCGTTTTCCAAAAAGTTTTTCTGTTTGCCCCCGCATCTCGTGTTGTTTTGTTTACAAAAGATGTTTTCGGTTTGGTCCGATTTCAAGGCGAAACGTAATTGAACTCGGCTTGGAATATATTATTTTTGTTCCCAACCAAAGGCTTCGTTTACATTTTGTGCTGCGCAATCTCAAACAAACAAAGACGCAAAGAAAAATAATTACGACGCTGACGCAGCTGTGATTGTGCTATCAAAACCATAACCACTTCCCCAGTCCATAAACTCGCCCATTGATTTGTACATAACAACAATATGATCTCACTCACGTGCAGATGTAAGCACAGTGGAGTGAAGAAGTTTAAGAGCTGTATAAAAAATTTAATAATATTATTTGGAAGCTATACAATTTAATAATTGTCCAAAGGACAAATTAAAAAAAAAATTACATCCATCCATTTTCATTCAATTTGCTCATTATTAATAGAAAAAATTCATTCATGGAGATTTTTTTATTGAAAATTCAAGGTACATTTTTTTTGTTTTTAATTAAATAAATAGAGAAAATGTTTGAGTCATGCCAAAATAAATAAATATTTAAAATGCTCAATTTATGTTAAACTTTTAAAACTAAGAACCCTCCTAAAGTTACAACAGATTCAAATAGTCACCTACAATTGCCCTAATGTTCGCTAACTCGCTTAATTAGATTGATTAATTTAGGGGAACAAATGACCCACTGTGCATGCTGTCAAAGAAGAAAAATAAATCATTGGTGAACGAGTCTCGTGAAGCAACGGAAGAGCACAAAACCAAAATGAACTGAAGTGGATGTACATACATAGTTGTTATTGGAGGTGGTTTTGTATCTGCTGCGTTCGTTGCTTTGCTCACGTACAACATTTTTGGCTTCATATCTTTCTCACCCTGGCGAACGTGCAACAAAAGTCTCGTGCGCTTTTTGGAGTACTCGCAGATAGTCATGTATGCCACCAAAAGCGTTCAGATATGATGAATTACACTCGGTTCCTATTGGGGTCATTGCTAGCAATCAAAAGTCGGTGCTAACTGATAATCACTTTCAAATGGCACAAAAACAAATACTATTACTTATGCAATTTCAATTATTTTCACACCCATCCATCAGAAATTCTCAGAGATGCACAAAAAACAAGCTTATTTACATATTCTAAGAACGATGTTAACATAAATATCTACTTTAAAAATGTTTATACATTTTGTTGTGGGATTGGCACAAGCTAAATAAAAAGTTAACAACTTAAATATAAATATTTTTAAATTTTAATTTATTTACAAATACAGAATATAGAATTTAAATTGAAAGATTAATTTTGGAGTATTGCTATAACTTCAGGGGTAATTATCGTTTTGCAATTTAAACGAGTTTCATCAGCCATTTATCAGTCTGCAGAAGTGGTTAATTTGCTTTGAATATATTCATCCAGACCCGATAAAGAACACTTACTTGCCCAGCCAGTACCTACCACAACAAACAAAAAACAACGACAACGGGTTATACATATTTATTATGGATGGCGAGTACGGCCCATACTTATAAATAAAACAGAATTTGCATACATTTTGCGACGTTATATTTACATCGCCCCCAAGCCGAGCGCTGAGATGGAGATTCAATAAAATGAAAACAAATCCAAAGTCCAAAATGTGCGCGCAGAGGTGTTTGTGGATAGAAATGTTTTCATGTTGCGGATTTTGGGAGCTATGCGACTTGCACATGCGCTACACATGAAGATGTTGGGGCTTCCCCCTTTGTGAAATGTGGGAAAATAGCTGGGTTCACTAGAGAGTTCAATATTTATATCCGAGTGTCCTTGTTAATTGTGTGGCTTTGTTTCAGCCAGCCACTTGTGGTCGCCATTGTCCCTTGGTCTGGGTATTAGTCACCACTATTGTCTGTTGACTGCGATTACGATTCCGATGCCGTTAATGCCCCTTTGCATCTCATTAAAGAAGAGCGTTTAGAGCCGGCTATGCCAGCCGGCAATGCCAATCAAGACCCGTTTTGCGATTGTCGGCCGGCGAGGGCAAAGTCCAATGGGGTTCAGCCGGACAAGGAATGTTTTGTGTGTGGGGGGACGACTACTGGAAAAAAAGAAATGCGTCGTTAAGAATTGCGATTCCTTGCAGATTTGCCAACCTGCCCGTGGAGAATCTGGCGGTGCATCATCTTTCGCCGCCGCCGGAGAAATACTGGAGCATGATGGCCTACAACAATGCCAAGCTGTGCAACGTCTTGTTCGCCCAGGAACTTGCCCAGGTGAGTCAGAAATCGGGTCAATTAGATACAATTATTTTTAACCCTTTTTTTTTGTAGCGCTGGAAGCAGCGAGGAATTTCTGTGTTCAGCGTGCATCCAGGCAATATGGTATCGACCCATTTATCACGCAACTATTGGTTTTACCGACTGCTCTTTGCCATAGTGCGTCCCTTTACCAAGTCACTGGTGGGTTGGATAAGAAAAGAAAATGTTTTCTAAAAACTTTCACTAATTGTTCTCGTTTACTGGATATTTTAGCAACAAGCTGCTGCCACAAGTATTTACTGCGCCACCGCCAATGAGCTGACAGGCCTGTCTGGACTGTACTTCAACAATTGCTTCTTCTGCGAGCCCAGCAAATTGTCGAAAAGTGCTCCACTGCAGCAGCAACTTTGGCAAGTTAGCGAGAAATTGATTGCCGAGCTTCTGGAAGAGGAACAGCATTAGCTACTATTACACTTTAATATATTTATACACTTTGTGCAACAGGTAAATTTATAAGATTTTTAAAAAAGGGAACGTCTAAGAAAATCATTACTCGAGGGCAATAAAATCTAGAAATCATTATATTACTAAAGAAAGATTTTAAATATTTAAAAACAGTTAGGGTTAAAACAGTTAAAGTTTAGGTCTTTAAATTGGTCAATTTAATTTATATTATGTTTTTTTAAGATTATTAAGGGTTTTACCAGCTGGATCATTCCAAATAAATTCAACGAAATTATCTTGTTAGCTTTAAAAATATTCTGTATTTTTTTTTACACTATACAATAGTATTCCACGAGTATACATTTTAGTTTTTATCAAGTCTTAATGGGTAGCATTTAAATAACAGCCTAAGTACTAAGTAAGGAACTCTTTGGGGACTAGAAATCGGAGACGCGTCCTTTGCGCTCCCAGTCGCCGTACCGCGTGGGCTCCGGACCAGCGGGTCCGCCGATCTCGCCCGTGTAGGGATTGGTCTGGTTCGGCCACGGCTTGAGGGGCTCCTTCTCCTGGTAGGGATGGCGCGAGAATTCATCCAGTTTGCCCAGCGGCGTCTTGGCGCGCAGCTTCTTCTGGAAGGCCATCAGCTTCTCGGTTCGGGTCTTTGGCTCCTTGATCTCCACCACCATGTCGCCACCTCCGGCTGCTGCCCTCCAGGCGCCGCTCGTCGAGAGATAGCTCACTGGTAAAAACATAAAATTAGACACTTCTGCACTACAGTGGTCCCTCGCACACACACACACCTTGCTTGCCCACTTGGGGAAGGGCTCGCGCCGTTTGTCTGGCCATGGATTGCATTTTGTTTGGATTTGGATTGGGATTGCTTAAAAGTCAGTTATGTTATGCAAGATGCCGGCAATTCTTCTGAGTTCAGTTTCTGTTTCTTCTTCGAAGTTATTCACTTGAATGTTTCACTTCCGCTTGGGAGTAATTGTCACTCGCTTGATTGTGCGCGTCTGAATTAAAATCGGAGGCTGAGATTCGCTTTTATAGCCCGCGTCGCGCTGCCTGGCCGTTCAGTTTCTTTATTTATTTTTCCATATGGTGGGAGGGACCTGAAAATGTACTAGATATGGCCCCAGAAATACGCGTAGTGGAGACTTAAACCAGCGGAGGAACTGTTAGCTGTGACTCACACCACAGACGGTCTGGCAACGACCCTTCGCGAATTTCAGCTGGCAATGCTGGTGTTTTAAATTCAAACCGACTGCTTATTAATCATAATAAGTTATGATTATTATATAACATGTTGGCTTTGATTAACTTAAGCTCCCTATAATAGAAATAACTTGTTTATCTAGGCAATTTAATAAAATTCTTAAACAAAAGAGAACGCTATAGTCGGGTGCCCAGATTTTCAGATACCCGTTAGTCAGCTAAGGCGCGAGCAAGGGAGACGCAAATATGAAGCTTTGATTGACATAACATTTTATGGATAAGTCTATGGGTATTTATAGTCGAGGCATAACCTCATTTACACTTTTACAAAATCTTTAAAAAGATTTTAACGTTGAAGGGTTTTAGTAGACGTTAGAATGGCTAGAACAATCTATATGGAACATTTTTAGTTTCTAGCTTTAAAAATGTAATTGCCAGAGCAACAAATTCAGATTTTTAAACTAACGCCATTCATTAGGAAAAACTTTGAATGCGTATAACTATTTAATAAATGGACCGTTTCTAAAATTTTGGGTGTGTTAGAGGTGATATTAATAATCAAAACAAGATGTCTTTTACACTTTTCCATAAACTTTAAAAGAAGCTTACGAATCTAACTCTGCAACCCCAACTATCCAGCTTTTATAGTTTCCAAGATCACAGATTTTACACGGACAGATGGAAGGAGGATTTCCTTAATCACTAATTAGGCAACCATTAACGTCCAAACGACAACTCATTGCGTTATTACCTGACAATATCATGTTGATTCTTTTAGATGTACCTCATACATGATCTTATAATGGATAGGACTTTACTAGAAATTTCCAATGCTACGGTTTCCATTGTGCTGTCATACTTAATCTGATTAAATCCATCGATCGGTTAAATCAAACAAGCTCACCCTTTTCATGATTTAAACTTCAGTTGGCCTGGGCTGCGAAGTGCACTGCTATAAGGTCGGTCGGGTCTTTCCTTATCGCCCTGAGCCATCGCCAATTGAGAGCGAGCGATTAGGAATTGGGGTCCGGACATTATCATGGCTTATCAGCCCAAACCCTTCAGGCAATAAGGTAAGAAACCCGAAAACATGAATCGCAGGTTGAAGTTTACTTTACTTTTACTATTACTCGTAATGCCAGTGCTCTCGGTTCGGGAAACTGTAATATTTCAGTCACTCACGGTATCGTTAAATGGTAACCCCACAAACATGGAGCCATTGAACCGGAGCGTTGCATTTAAGCTCTACGCGATTAATAAACTTTAAACTGAAGTCTTTAAGGACACTGAAAGAAATTGTATTTAATGTTCAGACAATACAATCGACTATACTTAAATCATCTAAATATTTTATGAATATGTGTTATTTTTAAACGTTCTTAATTTATTAAGAACTGAAATGTTGAGAAGATTTACAAAAATGAATTGCTATTCATCACAATTTTATACAGTGAGCCTATATGCAGTAAATTTTTTTTAAAATGTTTAAACTGCTATTACATTTCTTTCAGTGCCTTCATTAACTTTTTGTAAAGTTCTGTATCATTTTATTCTGACATTTATGTTTATTTTTCTCGCCGTTCTATATAGCCGTCTTGTCGGATTGAAAATATTCTCTTACCGTCAATTCAGTCGTTATCAAGTCGGCATTCGAAGAGGTTTGATCGCACCCCAAGACTAAGATTTACAGATACTCGAACGCACAATCCATTCCCTCCACTGATCTAGTCAGGACGCGAGTTAAATGAAATAAAAATAGTTCCACAAGTTTCTTTGAAGGCGATTCCAACGAGAATATTTGCAACTTGAGTTGCATTATCAGAGGTGCCAGATAACCTCCACCCTACTGCGTGGACTTGGACTCGGATCAGATCAGATCAGTAATCATAAGGAAGTGGGAGAAATCGGACAATCTTCATCTCTAGCACTGCAGACGCAACATCGAGCAAAGACCCCAAACGAGTGAGTTTCTTAATAATATATTTAGGCCAAATAATAACTTTTTAGAAAATCAAGTTATAAATTGTAGAATTAAAGATTAAAAGAATCGATAAACTCGAAGGCGTACAAACAAAACTGATAAGAATGAGTAACTCAAGCAGACAAAAAACAACAGGAAATGTCTGTAAAAAAAATACTTAAACTATAAACAAATCGTTTAACTAATAATTCAAATTTATTACATTACACTATGGGAAAAAAGTCAATTTTTTTGGCATAAAATCAACTTATTTTACAAATTATTTTTAAAAATAAAATATATTTTGTGAATTTACATACCCTAATTAGCCAAGAACAGTTATCTAAGATTTTTTACTAGCAACACTATAAGGTTGATAAACGAACAAAGTCAGCTGTTTGATTGACTTTGTTGTGTGCGTAAATTAGTGAAAAATCTTTGCAAACTTTCAGTGCTTATTTTGTGGAGCAACAAAATGGTTTATTATTTCTGATCATGTCAAATCGTAGCAAAGGTATTTATAAATGTATCTTAGATTACATGTTTTGATTATTATGGCTTGTTGTCCAACTGTGAACTGTTTTAAATGTGTATCTTTTTAGCTTAAAACTAACAAGTTTGTTTGTGTTCCGTGGTGTACAACTTATAAATGGCACAAAGTTGCAAAAAGGTAAAAACGCAAAGTTATTACCAAATGTATCCTTAATATCGCAAAACTAATAATTTTTGCAACTTTTTGCACGTTTTTTCAAAAAAATGACTTAAATCCAGCAACTTATAAACATAAAAAAAATATTTTTTTAAATAAAATAAAATCTAAGTGGCTTTCATTAATCTTAAAAATTGAATTCATGGAAAGGGACAAGTCAAGTGAAAATCCTGGCTGCAAAGGACTCAAATATAAAGAAGCTGGACCCCCGTTAAAGCTAAAATTGGCATCTGCTCTAAGATAATATTTCACTTTTCTTGTACATGACACCAAATTTTTTTTTTTTTTGACAAATTTTAAAAATTAACGTAATCCGAAATTATTTTACCGTCTTACCAATACAAATACAAATTTTTTAAAATCCCTGCCAATTAATTTGAAAATGCGGCGTGGGCGGTGGATAAAAACAATGGTCCGATTCAAAAAGCAACAAAAACCGAAATTACAGCTTTATCTTAATAGTATATATACAAAATTTCTAAATTGTACCTCTAAAACTAGAGTTTATGCCAAAAAAATAGACTTTTTCCCATAGTGCATTAGTAAAAAGTTCAAATATGCACGCTTTTGGGTAAATAACCTACATGAGTGGAAAAACATAATTGCAACTTAACTTTAAGCTACTTCAATGTAATAAAACCCAATTAGTACTCATTAATTGCAAACGATTGCAACAGTGTATAATCACTTAACTTTCTTTTCCTGCCATTTCTGAATAAATTTTCCATTATTATTTAAATTAAAAGGTTGGTTCAATTAATGTTGCCTAGAATCATGATACTAGTATTCCCATAATATTATGTAAAATGTACACACTCCCCATAAAATACAGAATAACTGACTAACGATAATTATAGTATAAAAACTTCGTCTGCATAGAAATCGCTACATTGTAAATTAATTAACACCATTTTTATAGGTTTAATCAAAACTAGTTGAGCATGGTCATTTTATATGCTAGCTTAATTGCACGCGTATTTTTCTGATTTCAGGTGCAATACGACATAACTTAAGTCCCCTCCCACTACCATGATCGGAAAACAGCGCATTTTGCGGACCAGTGCGTTAGGTCTACTTTTGGCCACCTTCAGTCTTTTCTCGGTTGTTTACATGGAGCAGATCGAACGTTGGATGCTCGAGTGGTTAATGGTTCTGAAGCCCGGAACTCTGATTAGCAGCCTGTGGGAGTCCCCCTCCATGGACATAAACGTGGATCTGTATATTTTCAATTGGACAAACTCAGAGAGCATAGGCGATCCTACGGTGAAGCCGCGATTCGAGGAACTCGGACCTTACCGCTTTACAGAGCGGATGCAGAAGGTCGATGTCCAGTGGCACGATGAGAACTCAACGGTGTCCTACAAGCGTCGCAGTCGGTTCGATTTCGTTCCGAATCTCAGTGCTGGTCTTCCCTCAGATCCCGTCGTGGCACCCAACCTGCTAATCGTGGGCTTGTACCAGAAGATGATGCTCTGGAGTCCCATGCTCCGATCCCTCATGATGATGGCCTTAAATATTTACGGCAAGGAGCAGACAATGATTCGGCCAGCTAGCGATTGGATGTTCGACGGATTCGATACGCCACTGATCAAGATGAGCAAAATGGTTCCGCCTAGCCTCGTTCCGGAGATGAAATTTTCCTATGAGAAGATCGGCTATGCATATCCAGTAAGTCGATTGAGAAGTGCTTATAACAAGATATTATAATACAAAAATCTTTTCCTTTGAAACATCCCAGACCAATTTCATGAATTTCTTAACTTATCCGAATTTTCAAGTGTTTCCATTGGAGCTATATTCGCGATCAGGCATCGGATAAACTGCCTTTGACTTTTTGAATTTTGAGTATAATAGAAGATTAGAAGAATAGATAAATGGCATAAACTCAAAAAAAAAATCGAACGGCTTTCCAGTTTGTTGGAAATACCAACACAATTTAGTGGTTTAATCTGCTTGAATTTTATACACTTATGTTAACTTTGATTTTTCAAAATTTTTCGACTATTTGTCCTTGATAGGAAGTTCCTATAAGGTCCCAAAAACAAATTCTCACAAATTCATAAAATTCAGACAGGTTGACTAAAATGATTCATTCGAAATAAATTTTACAGTCATTCAATTCATTAAAAATAGAATTGAGTTGAATGAATCAAAAATGTCTTGGAATACTACTGCTAATTTAATTTCATACATGTTTTATAAAAAGTCTTTGGAAACCTTAATAATTTTGTATAAACAATTCAATCGTCATTTATAAAATTTCATTCAGTAGTTAAAGGAATGTTGTCTTATGCTCTAATTGTAATCTTATAATTTTTAGCGCAACGGCAGCATGGAAATCTACGGCCATCACAATGTCTATACAGGACGAGATGAGTTTAGGAAACTGGGTCAAATAGCTAGATGGCGCTACAACAACGTCACAGAAGCCAGTCCCAGGTGCAAATTGAAGGGTAGTGCCGGGGAGTTCCACCCAATACCGCTGGTGAAAGGCAGACCCATATCCTACTTCCTGCCGGATCTGTGCCGCGAGCTACAGGTGGACTATTCTGGCACCACATTATTCGAAGGCGTCGAGGCATTTGTGTACAAGGGAAGCGCGCGCAACATGGCAAATGGTAAGTTATATATCTCAATTATTTCCTGTTCCCAAATGGACATTATAAACGTAAAATCCTTTCCCTTACAGGTACTGAAAACCCTGATAACAGTTGCTATTGTCAGGAGAACTGCCAGGAGGTGAGATCTGGTCTCCTGAACATATCCTCCTGCTGGTATGGGGCGCCAGTTTTTGCCTCCTATCCGCACTTCTATCAAGCCGATCCCTTCTACGCAGATCAGGTGGAGGGCATGAAGCCCGACAAGGATCGCCACGAGATGGTCATTATGTTGGAGCCCAAAACCGGAATGCTCCTGGAGATCAAGGCCCGCATTATGGCGAATTTGTTGGTCGAACCCAAAACCCATTTGTAAGTAGAGCTTAATCAAGGCTCTAAAATATAGTTATTTTTAGTAAAAACACACTTAATCACGGTTTCACAGAAATCTTGTTAAGCCAAATTCTGTTAGAATTTCTGTGATACACCGGAAGTATTAAAAAGTAAACGCTTCTTAAGTTTTCTTTTCTGAGGAAAAGAATGTTTAACAGGAAAGCCACACGAACCCAAAACCCATTTGTAAGTAGAGCTTAATCAAGGCTCTAAAATATAGTTCTTTTTAGTAAAAACACACTTAATCACGGTTTCACAGAAATCTTGTTAAGCCAAATTCTGTTAGAATTTCTGTGATACACCGGAAGTATTAAAAAGTAAACCCTTCTTAAGTTTTCTTTTCTGAGGAAAAGAATGTTTAACAGGAAAGCCACTTGACTTACTATCACCAAATCTAAAACTTATCAGCATGTCGTTGAAACATTCCAGAGAAATTTTATAAATTTCTTGACTTATCCGAATTTTTAAGTGTTCCGTTGGAGTTACGGTCGCCATCTGGCATCGCAGAAACTGCCTTTGACTTTTGAAAATTCCAATTTCTTGCTATACATACATACATACTTGCTATACATACAAACATACATAAATATATATGTACACAAAAAATATATATTTCAGTTCAAGAAATTTAAAAATTAATTTACCTTTTTTTCAGAATCTATCGCAACGCGAGAAAGACATTCTTCCCATTGATCTGGGCGGATTATAATGTGCGCATCACAGACGATCTTCTGGCTTACGTAAAGTTAATACCAATCCTAGAATTGGTGGGCAAGATCTGTGGTATTCTAGGCGTGGCTCTGGGCGTGCTTATGGTCTTCTGGTATCCCCACCAGCTTATTTGGCAGAAAAGCCTGATGCAGAAGATCGAGATCAATGCCCTGGAGACGAGCAGAACGTCTGACACCATTAAAAACAAGAGGGAACGTTATAGTCGGGTGCCCCGACTATCAGATACCCGTTACTCAGGTAAAGGGAGTGCGAGGGAGATGGAGATAGAGATAGAAAACGTTGATCACGCATAACTTTTTAACGAATGGTCCGATTTGAAAAATTTCTTCTACATTTCGATAGGTATTGATAAACACAATAAAACTGCATTTTTACTTTTCCAAAATATTAAAATTTTTAAAATCGTATATAAGCGATGGTGGGCGTTAGAGGGGGCGTGGCACCATTTTGAAACAAACTTGCGCTGCGTAGGAATTCCTAGAATCTGCATGCAAAATGCCAATCTTCTAGCTTCTATAGTTTCCGAGATCTCAGCGTTCATACGGACAGACGGACAGACAGACAGACAGACAGACGGACAGACGGACAGACGGACATGGCTAGATCGACTCGGCTAGTGATCCTGATCAAGAATATATATACTTTATGGGGTCGGAAACGCTTCCTTCTACCTGTTACATACTTTTGCACGAATCTAGTATACCCTTTTACTCTACGAGTAACGGGTATAATAATGGAGTGGAGGAGTCGCCGCTGCTGATAGGATTACAATATACGGGTAATTCTAACTGAGGATTTAGGTTTAATAAAGTATGGATAATGTCATAAAGTTAAGTTTGCAGGGTTTTTCTTGCCTAGTCTAAAGTTTAAGCCAATAAATGGTTAATGGTGTTCAAATACTCGGTGCCTGAAGAGTATCGAATTTATAGATTATGTACATACTCGTTTTTGTTTTTTATTAATATTGCTTGTTCGTTTGCATGCGTTATCACATGAATCATTCAGTTAAATAAAGCACCAAGGAAAGTATATAATTCATTTGTTACTGATAAAAAACTGTGAGGAAATAATTACGCATACGAATCGCATAATATTAGCATTGAACCGCCTGAAATCGAATGCTTGTAAACTCAAATAAATAGCAAAAGCTATAAAATTTGTTTCATTGATTGCGGAAACAAATTTTTTAAGATTTTCTGGTTGGGTTTTATAGGGTATTAGGGCTTCAAAGTCCAGAGTGGTCTGCGGATGCCTCAGTCGGCTAAATCCCCGGGATCTTCCCCGCTGGAGATCGAGGAACCTCCTGTTCATGATGTTCCTGCTGAATCCCCGGAAGAACCACCCCCGCTGGGAGATGTTCCTGATGTTATTGATGTTCCTGAGACCGATCTATCAGGTAAAATATAGAATTATTGAATACAATCAAAATATTTATAACACCAATTTTGTTTTAGTATACTTATGATACTACTGCAAGAGTTCATTTCATTGCAAGTTCCTTGTGATGGATCATTATACGTCGGAGCACCCATCGGAGGAGCTCCAACCCAATATGAGCTGGCCCCACATCTGGCAGCACCAGGATGTGAGCACAAAGGGATTCTAAAACAGCAAGCAACTTTATAATACAAAATAAAAACACACAAATTAAATGTAATAATATGACTAAAATGTTTACATTGAATCGCCTGAAATCGCATCGATGCGCTTACCCGATTCAGAACCGATTGAAGAAAACCAAAAACCGGTTTGGCAAAAAACCAGAGAGAGAAAAGAGCGCCGAGAGACTTATGCTCTGCTCATTTGCGCCGCTATCTCATAACACCCTACAATTGGTTGTGTCCATTAGTTTAGATTTTTAATGAGTCATCAGGGAATTTAGAAGTACAACTTTAAAAAAATATTGAGAAAACTGGATAGTTCTAAAATTAATATGGTTAAACCATAGAAGAAAAAAATATGCTAGAAAGAGACGTGGAATGTTTCCAGTGTTTGCAGTGCAAATTTTGCACTGCAATCACCCAAGAAAATAAATGAGTTTTGGTACCCGATCGGCTGGGCGCATAATTTAAAGCTATCTTCAATTCAATTAATCGGAAATTTTATAGGGTTATAGGGGGATTTGATGACTCATAGCAGCTGGTAACACTGTTCCCCAAATTTTTTGACCAAGGGTATTCGACAGTCGCCCCAGCCGACGCCGATTTTTGGCCCATAATGAAGAATAAATAATTGCTGCTTGTGGCGACTCTTTGGAAAATACTTATTTAGTCGCAGGCGCGGCGCAGCTCAGACACGTTCGCTCTCGTTCGTTCGCGCGCGTTAGTTCAAGATCAACAATTAACGGTGCGTCGTCGCCCCCTTTCCGAAACCCTGCGAGTGGGAGCGAGACGGCAGACCGCAAGAAATAGACGCGTGCTGAGGAAAAAACAACACAAACGCAGCGGAGAAACGATCGCAGACTTTTATATAGACAATATTTACACTGCCGCTGCAATTAAAATTGATATCAATTGAAAAGTATTTGAAAGAAATCGGAAACGTGTCGTGCAAGTGGAAAAATTGTTATAAATTAATAAACAACAAACTGCAAGAAAATGTAAGAATAATATGAAAAACAAGGAAAGAGAGTGGAGAACAAGAGAGAGGGAGAGAGAGCGCGCAAAAGCGGGAGAGTTAAACGTGCCCGAGTTCGAATACTTTTTACTGCTCATTTAGATAATTTTTTTAGGCAAACACAAAAAGAACCACATAATAGTTCTTAACTTTTGCGTGAATGTTGAAATGTGGATAAGGAGTTGTGCATTCCAAAACTATGACGCATGGCGATGAAAAGGCAAAATGTGTGAATAAGCGTATGCAAAGTACGAATTATGTATATTTTCGTTGGCACATTGCACTGTGTTGGGGGTTATTTTTAGGCTAAAAGAGCAAATAAAGCAGCCCGATGAGCAAACACAGAAAACATTGTCAACAGGTTGCGGAAGTGACGGCCAAGGTTCAAGGATACAACTAGTGTTGTTAATATTTTCACGTTCATTACCCGTTGAAAATCGCAATTGTGCGAAATTCGCGTGATTGATGTTTGGCCAAATGATTGGGCAGTATGTGAATGTGAAGTTCATAATCTGGTGTAGTAAAGCGCGAAATAATCAGAGCGCAAAAGCGGGCGGCGGCAGGGGGGTGGGCGTGGCCAGTGGGGTGGCATTGCTGTAGATAAAGAAAAGTAACCACAACAAAAACGGGTTTTTCTCTTAACCTCGCTACGTGTGCATTAGTAACAAAAAGCAAAAAAGTCATCGAACGCAGTACGTGTGTGCTATATGTACGAAAAACACTGTATATATATTTAAAAATCGTTGAATTATCACCAATAATGGCGGTAACTAAGGCCAGAAATCCCCCTCAGCCAGCGGTTGCTAACCAGCCCCAAGAAGTGTAAACAATATTCACTATAACGCCCCCACCCCCACATCCCGCCCTTGCGCACTACGGATTTATGGTTGTGTCAGGGTATGGAATACGTTTTACTGAATTCGAAATATGGAGAGGTGAACGTGTTTTCGATCCACTCCCACAGTCGCGAATCAAAACAAATAATACTCGAGGAATGTGCCGCCGCGGTGAATCACGGACTTTCCAACCTGAAAACATCAATAATAGTATTAAAGTTCGGAGTCAGCAAACGGAAATAAAAACCTCGAATCGATTGTACTAAAGTTCGGAGTCAGCAAACAGAAAAAACCCTCCTTTCAATGGTAGTAGTACGGTGCTTTTTTTTGTATTCTTTACGGTGGTGTCAGAATTCAAGAAGATAAAGTGGCTTGGAATGTTTCTTAGAAATCTTACTTTTAAAAACCCTAATCAGTACATTTTATTTGAAGAGAGCATTTATAAATTAATAGTTTTTTTTATAACTTAGCAACTTGTTGTTCTAGTACTGACCTATAAAAGCAACATTGATTTGCTAACAGGGTCATGTTACGCTTAACATTTCAAAGGTATTATGCCAACGGTGAAAGACGTGCAAACACAACTTAGTGACTAAGTGTGGCTAATCAGTGTTCTATATAAAAATACTATAGTCTGAATTTAGATTCTGTGTATTGATAACTCTGGCTTCATGCTCTGGTACCTCCTGACGTAATACCAGTATTGGAGAGAATAATTTACTTATTTAAGCCAGCCCTTCGGACCGGTTTAAAGCAACCCCCAAAAAACAATACCTTACATATTTACAATGTACATGTATATTGACATTTGTACATATAGGCAATTATTTCGTTAATTTTAACTTCGTACAGTCATACATCTATAACTGGGATATTATACTCCAGAATGTCTTTTTAAAACTAATTTGTTGTGTTAGGAGTTAGACAGATTCTTTCGCTGGTTCCATGTAATAAAAGCTTTACTGTAGATTCACATGCTTACTTATGCCTGTTTGACACTTCTAGGTATTCATTTTAGTACTTATTTAGTTTGCGGTTCGCTTAGTGCAAAGTGAAAACTTTATTACAATTAGACAGAAAATGTATATAATTACGTCGCAGCTCGACTTTGTGATCGCTCTTTATGCGGCGGCGCGTGATCCAACGCTCTCTGTCTCTCTCTCCGTAATGTAATGTTATTCTCTGCCCGGAGTTCCCCGATCCTCAGAAAGTCGGGTGTCGAGCCTGCTGGGCCTCGAAAGTGTGATAAGACTGTACAGTGGTCTTTCAGCCAGACGAGCGATAAGCCCGCATTTCTCACTTCCACGCCACTCTCTCACTCTCTTACTCTCTCCCCATATAGACGCTAATAACGGGATCGTAACCGTGGCGAGGGTTCCACACTCAGTGCGAAGCAAGAGATCGGTCGAGGAAGACGCCCCTCTATATAGAACATCGATCCCCAGCACCAACATCAAGAGGCGGACACATCAAGATGACATCACGGGCGCGTCACTGGGCCCGACTGGGCATCGTCGTTCTTGGGATCTGCTGCATTGCCAGTGGGATTTACCTCTTCCGCAACTTTATCGATATGTTTACACGCGCCCGCGGCAAGGTTAGTACTCCCCACCTATTAATATCTGCCATCGGTTCGATCCCATCTTATCGGCGTTGATTGCAATCGATTCTGAGACCCTTGGGTTAAGTTTCGCAAACCGGCAAATTGGCAAAATGTGCAAAGGTCAACTGGGAGGCACATTTACATACCAATTTGGTTCGACAGGAACCAATTTCTTCCATTGATTGAAGACAATTAAAATTTCTTTCGAAGACACTGAAAATTGATTGTGTGCAGGTGTTCGAGTAATAAAAATCACCCGAAACCATCAGATAAGATACGGACTAAACCTAGCAATATTCGAAATGATCCATCAAACTTGTCGATAGGTTTGTAAGTCACTTTAAAGATCCCATTAGGAGATCCTATACGAAAGTCTGTGCTTTTAATTAGCATGTTAATGCTATCGTTGTGTTTATTCGCTATATGTAGAGTGCTTAGTCACGGGAATTAAAGCTCTTATTGAAAAGCATTCCCCTTAAACTTTAGTGCAATGAACTAAGACAAGGAATCTTTTTTAAAAGCGTATTAACATTATAAAAAATCACCTAGACCGACCTATGTAACTTATGTGTCATACTTAAATGCAAGACTCTAATTACAGTGACTCACATTAATATTCGGTTTTTATACCCGTTACTCGTAGAGTAAAAGGGTATACTAGATTCGTGCAAAAGTATGTAACAGCTAGAAGGAAGCGTTTCCGACCCCATAAAGTATATATATTCTTGATCAGGGTCACTAGCCGAGTCGATCTAGCCATGTCCGTCTGTCCGTCTGTCCGTCTGTCCGTCTGTCTGTCTGTCTGTCTGTCTGTCTGTCTGTCTGTCCGTCTGTATGAACGCTGAGATCTCAGAAACTACAAAAGCTAGAAGGTTGAGATTTCCCACACATATTCTTTGGCTTCCTACGCAGCGCAAGTTTATTTTAGCCCAGCGCCACGCCCCCTCTAACGCCCACAATCGCCCACTAACGATTTTAAAATGGGTCCTGCGCCCACATCTTTAAAGATTTCCGAGAAGTATAAATGCAATTTTGTTGTGTATATTTATACCTATCGAAATGTAGAAGACATTTTTCAAATCGGACCATTCATTAAAAAGTTATACGCAATCAAAAATTATATATCTATCTCCCTCGCACTCCCTTTAGCTGACTTACGATTATTAGTCGGGACACCAACCCGACACAGCGTTCGCACTCCCTTTAGCTGAGTGACGGGTATTAGATAGTCGGGACAACAACCCGACTATAGCGTTCTCTCTTGTTTTTTTTGTCAACTTCAAACGTGAATAAAAAGTTTGAAACTAATAAAACAAAAAATCAAATAATGCAGAAATAAAGCTTATTTTATTACCTTTTCATAGATATATATATGTTATTACTTTTTTTAAAATTTAACTGAGAAACATGCATAAACGAAAGAAATGCCGAATATTGGGGCCACATTAATATTCGGTTTTCCTTTTTGTACTAAAAATCAAAAAAATTATTTAGGAAATAAACTAAATTTGACATTTGAAATGCTAGCCATTATTGTCTATGGTATCGTTTAAATATTTTGGCATACTTTAAAATTTTTTTTTTGCCTATTCTGGGCCAGTTTTTTCAACCTAAAAAAAAGATGTACGGGATAATGTCAAAAAAGTTTGCAAAGGTACAACAAATTCTCGATTTTTTTTTTTTAATTTATGGTTAAACCCCTAGCCTTTAACTAGAAATCAGTTTCAGCGCAATCCATTCATCACACCAAAAAAAATGGATGGGTACAAAAGCAGAGTCGCTCGAAAATTCATTTTTCCTTAAGTTTTGTATGGAATCAAGCAGCAAAACGCTTCTTCTGAGCGACTCTGTTTTGTACCTATCCACTTTTTTTGGTGTGATGAATGGATTGCGCTGAAACTGATTTCTAGTTAAAGGCTAGGGGTTTAACCATAAATTAAAAAAAAAAATCGAGAATTTGTTGTACCTTTGCAAACTTTTTTGACATTATCCCGTACATCTTTTTTTAGGTTGGAAAAACTGGCCCAGAATAGGCAAAAAAAATTTAAAGTATGCCAAAATATTTAAACGATACCATAGACAATAATGGCTAGCATTTCAAATGTCAAATTTAGTTTATTTCCTAAATAATTTTTTTGATTTTTAGTACAAAAGGGAAAACCGAATATTAATGTGGCCCCAATATTCGGCATTTCTTTCGTTTATGCATGTTTCTCAGTTAAATTTTAAAAAAAGTAATAACATATATATATCTATGAAAAGGTAATAAAAAAAGCTTTATTTCTGCATTATTTGATTTTTTGTTTTATTAGTTTCAAACTTTTTATTCACGTCTGAAGTTGACAAAAAAAAAAAACCGAATATTAATGTGACTCACTGTATATCAACAATGTACTATACAGAAACACTAAATTTTCTTACTTTTTCTTATCCTCCTTAAATAACAGAAACATTGTAAAATTCCAAAATAACCATCAATCAAAATTAATCAATGTGATAATTTTTCGGTTGGCCAGGTGTTATTTGAGTCACGAAAATGTTGATCATGATTCCTTTTTTGATTTTATGCTTACTCAAGGCGACTAATAATAGTTAGTGATTAATTGACTTTATCAAAAAAGGGCACAGCTGTCAATGTGAATCACGGGATTCAATGCGGGGTCAATAATCCAAAATTGAAGTTTTCCCCCGATGTTGCTTGTTTCTGTATAGGCGGAAATTCCATTCGAAATGTTGGAGTTGCGGCCGCGAAAATGCACTGGGTTTTGCTATCTTATCTCGGACAAAACCTGAAAAAATAACCCATTTAGCGATAGCCATGTGTTCGATTAGACAACGCTTTTCGCTTCCATACGTATACATAATGAATATATGGCGAAAAAGGTTCATAAATGGCCTTAACCATCCAGACCTGGCATGTAACCACACTTGTCTAGGTCCAATGACCCTGACCGAACACCTGTGCTCTACTTCAATTCGAGTCCAGGCAGACATGTGTAATCCATTAGGATTACACAGGGCTTGTTGTGAATATTGGCAAAACCGCTTAGAACCCAATTCGAATTTCATTTTATCAGTTTAGTCATTTCCTGTAGCCCAGTCGCAGTTCCAATTATAAAGATTATAGGGTTCTGGGCAATACAAAATGGTGGCCCACCGGTCTACGATCCAGACAATCGTTAAGTCTGTCATTCTGGCTTACAATGATTGACGGCTGATAGCAGTCGACCAGGGAACGCATGTAATCGCACCAGCACCTGCAGTTTTTGCGGAGATAGAGCCATACAAAGTAGCAGGAATTTGCATTCAAAATATAACGATTTGTTACTAAAAAATAACTTTCTTTTGCTCAGGTCAAAATCCCATTCAAGTTTATTTGTAAGATTTTTAAAGAATTTCGTATACATATGGCATACGGCATATGGGCCATAATCTAAAATATTTTTTTTTGGAAGTTGATAAATGCTTCCTAGAATGTTATTCGTATCACGAAAAAATATGTTATTAAATCAAACAGGAAAAACCTTTTTGTAATTTTATTTTTTAAGAAGTTTTAATATAAGTTTATAATTATTTTGTGATTCATATAAATTTTAAATAAATGCTACTGAATCACAAAAAAATATTATTTTTTTCTCTATAGTTTTTTTTGCGTTAAAATATGTTCGCCGCCCCTGAAAAAGCCCATATGTCTGAAGCGAACAGTAAGTCAATTGTTCAAAGGCAATTTCAATATGGGCACTTCCAAAATGTCGCTCGGGACATTTGCACACCTTTAAAGTAGAAAAAAAATTGTAAAACAATGGATTTTAATTTTAATTAGGGGCTTTTCTTTTCACTCTTCCCAAGCTCTATTTTTGGTAAAAATCTTAATTTTGTACCACTTTTAGTTTTTAAAATATCGGTAAAAAACTGCCGTATTCGCTCGGGACAAAAATAGAAGTGGATTTCGGGGAAGTTCATACAACACCAGAAATTAGCGAATTCTGATGGAATATTTGAATGCGATTTTTTTTAGAATGTTGTTCAAACATGTCGCTGTGAAATGCTTTTGGTTTTACTCAAAAATTCTTTGCCGTTTTTTTTTTATGCAGTTTCAACCACATTCGCTCGGGACATGTCGCTCGGGACATTTTTTCCGACTGTTTTGTAAAGCGGATTTCTTTACCTCTTTCTCTCAATTGCTGGATGTTTTGCTTTTAACTTAATAGTTTAGCATGTGAATAAAGCATTCAGTACAGAAAAATGTCACATATTAGCATTCCTATAGGATAAATTTACAACAGAAGACAGGACCAAAAAATAACAAAAAAATAGCCAAAAACTGATTTTTGCGTATATTGGTGGGGTTTGTCATAAAAATAATCAAACTATACTCCAAATTTGTAGTTAAGCTCAGTATCCAACTAATTAGAAACTAATATCGGGGCAAAATCATGTGGAAATATGTTTTATTCAAGTTTCAAGGTTTTTGGCTTGGTGGACTTTTTTTTGGAAGTGCCCATATGCACAAGTTCTCCCTTCGAAATATTCCGTATCAATTATGGAACCTCCAGCGGATACCAATTGCACAGATCATTCGTGAACTTTGATCGGTGGTTGTTCAATATGCACATCGTTCATAAATTCAATGCGCAATTTTTCATCAACGAATTCCATTGCTATGACAATTTATCAACCAGTTATCCTCAATTATAACATGCAACTTATTATGTAAATCGTTTATCATTGAATATTGATCGATCATTATAATTATTTAATTCAATGTCAAGTTTATCCAAAAATAATATATATTTTGCCTTTTTAGGAAATGGCCCTGACGCCCACATCACGATCATTTGAGGGTTGGAAGGTCTCCCCGCTGCCTCTCAACTTTGATGTCTACCTCTTTAACTGGACGAATCCGCAGGACTTTTATGTGGGATCAGGCAAAAAGCCGCGATTCGAACAACTGGGACCCTACCGGTTTCGAGAGCAACCCGACAAGGTGGACATCGAATGGCACAATCAGAACGCTTCAGTGTCGTTCCATAAGAAATCCTGGTTCTACTTCGATGCTGCCGGCAGCAACGGAAGTTTGTCGGATATTGTCACTACAGTCAACACAGTAGCCCACGTAAGTTCTTGAAAAAAAACGTCGAACTTCAGCAACTACAGGAATATAAATACAATGGTTTAACATTAGTAACATGTTATTAAACCTTATACCAAATATTTATGTTTTATAAATTATATAAACATGTATTCCTTTTATTACAGGCTGCTGGTAAACGTGCCGCTGAAAACTGGCTTGCGAAAGTTGGAGTAAACATTGCTAATAATGCCTATGATCAGGAAGTGACCGTCACGAAAACAGTTGATGAAATGCTCTTCAAGGGCTACGAGCACCAATTCATAAAAGTGGGCAAGTTCTTTCGCCCCCAAGATGTTCCCTACACGCGCGTAGGCTTCCAATACCCGCGTAATGGCAGTTCCAGCTTCGATGGAGACATTAACATGTTTACCGGTGTCGACGATATTGCCAAAATGGGCCAGATTCATACGTGGAATAATCTAACCCACACGGGAGCCTTTGAGGGCAGCTGCGGGAAGGTTCACGGTTCCATGGGCGAGTTCTTTCCGCCCAACCTTAGCACCGAGGACAGCGTCTACATGTACATGCCCAAGATGTGCCGGGCCATACCGCTGGACTACACGGAAACCGTCACCGTGCATGGCGTGACCGCCTACAAGTTCAGTGGCACTGCCCACGCCGTGGACAATGGAACACTGCACCCGGAGACGAGTTGCTACTGCGTCGGCGGCAAGTGTATGCCCATCGGAGTGATCAACATTGGACCCTGCGCCTTCAACGCATCCGTCTACATGTCGTTCCCGCACTTTTACATGGCGGATCCCAGCTATCTGGAGGCCATCGAAGGTCTGCGACCGGAACGCGAGAAGCACGAGTTTTTCATGACGCTGGAACCCAATGCGGGCGTGCCCATGGACGTGGGCGGTGGCTTCCAGGCCAACTACTACATGGAGCCCATTCCGGGTAGCAAGTAAGTAACCACAAATTAAAGAGATTTTGACATTTGTTTTTAAACAATTTTTGGGTTAAATTTACTTAGAATTCACTGAACTAAACAAAAATCTTTTTTTTATTTTCCAAAAAAGATGAATTCTTAAATATTTTAAAACAAAATTTCGTAGTCAGCTTTTAGAAAAATTATTTCAATATTTTGTTAGAAAAATTTAATTTCGATTTGTATTATAATTAATTTTTGAGTTAAATTTACTTAGACTTCACTGAACTAAACAAAAATCTTTTTTTTTATTTTCCAAAAAAGATGAATTCCTAAATATTTTAAAACAACATTTCGTAGGCAGCTTTTAGCAAAACTATTTCAGAATTTTGTTATAAAAATGTAATTCATATGGGTAAAAAACAATGTTTCGATCTGTATTATAATTAATTATAATTATATATAGTATAGTTTCCTTATTGTTACTGAAACTAACCTATTTATTGTTTCAGCCTCTACTCAAATGTGCCAACGGTCATGATTCCCATGATGTGGTGCGAGGAACGCGTTCGGGTCTCAGAGGAAATCGCCGCCGACATCGCGCTGGTTCCGCTGATTGTCCTGGTGGGACAGATTATAACCGGCATCCTGCTGGCCGGTGGTCTCATATGCACCTGCTGGTACCCGACGCGCCAGGTGACGCACTTCTGTCAAAGCGATCCCAAGGCCAAGGCCAAGGCCAGTGCCTTTAATCCTCTGGCCGCCTTTGGAGTAAATTCAACTGAAGCCACGGCTCCGGTGTGCCAGCTTTTCCGCAACACTACCAGTTCACCGGGCAACGACCGCGTTGGAGTGCGCCTGCTGGATTATAATCGCGATTCGGGATTGAGGGAGGAGAGCGGGATTACGGAGAGCTCGGCCAGGGAACGACTGATCGGCGAGGACACGCCCGATGTTTTAGTTAGATAATACTTGCGTTGGCATCAGGCCTTTCTGACGGTGCCACCAACGATCATCTGTCTAAGACTCATTTACGTCGCCGTAGCTTAGAATAGCATAAAGTGATGAAGCCATTCTGCCTTAACCATGCCACAGAGGCTGGAACCAATTGCTCACCGAGGACTTTGCTCCGGAACACATCGCATACCACATTAGCACGCACATTAGGAGTTCCCTCAACACATCTGCACGCTCTGCAGACAGCGAGAGAGATTAATAAGATTATTTATTTTAGTGCCAAAAAAAAAAAAGCAGAAAACCCAAGCAAAAGTCATTAACTATTTTAGTAGGCTAAACTAAACTGTAAATAGAGCGAGTTGTTAGGCGCCCCATTATACGATCACTCATTTCCCTAAATTGTTGAAGCTAAAACTGCGCATGCCCAAAGTATTTATATTTATACGAAACTGCATAACTTTTGTAAGGCGATAATTTACGTGTTAATCAAAGTTGAGAATGAAGTGATAAAGAAAACATATTGAACAGAACATAGGGAGCGAGGAGATTTCACCTTTGCTCATTTAGTTAGGCTTGAGACTAGGCAATTCTTGTTTTAAGTCTTGTACAAATAACACTAACACTGCAAAGATTTCGCATATCCTATGTAAATATGTATGTCAATCAGTGTAAGACTTAGATAGTAGAGCACAGCTGTGAAACCCGGAAATATTTCCAAAAATTCCTTAAGATAAATTTATAGAACAGAATAAATATAAAAACATAAAATCATAAAATATGAATGCCCTACCATTAATTTCGAAACATATCGTATTTTGAATTTAAAGAAGAATATATAAAATCCATTTAATGTTGGGATTATAAATATGTTGTTGTTATTAACACATTTTATTGTCAAAACACAATTGATAAAATACATTTTAAAATGAAAACATGTTGCTTATAAACATTATTGCCCCTAAATAATTTTGATTACATCTGTAAGACCTATGAATTTTAAATGAATAATAATTGAATTGTAATATAGTCTATGAACCCAATGCGATTTCCAAAAATTCCATTTAACAGAAGAAAATAAAGCAATCGATATATTAAAGATTAACTTTTTATTACCCAATTACTAAGATTGTGATGTTGTATAAAAATTGTTCAATTGACAATGGTACCTATGTATTTAAATCACTTGGTGAACACTATTATATTCGCTGGAGCCAACTGGAAAGTGCCCAAAAGCAAAGGCTAACGAAGCTAAAGCTGAACAGGGACTTGAAGGTGCTGGCTCCGTTGCCTGGATTTCCCAGATCCAATTGTGAGGCCAGCTCCTCCGGCACGTCCAGGTAGACTCGTTCCAACCCAAAGCCGAAGATCAGCTGGCGCAGCTTTTCCACATCCACATAGTCGCCGGCCGATGACCAGATGGTCAGAGTGCTTTCGTTCGTCTCGTTCACAGCGGCAACCAGTCGATGCAGTTGCTCCTGGCTGTTGGCTGCGATTCCAGCGCGCACGGGAAAGGTGATGCCCTGGCCGGTGGAGAGGACATTGTTGGCGGTCAGGGATTCCAGCATGGCATCGCATTGATCCTGCGTGTACTCGCCATCGCGGAAGTCGGCGCCCCAGTTGGTTGTCCAACCGATGGAGAGCACCGCCTGCTTGTAGCGCATGCAGCCAGCAAAAAAACGATCCGCATCCACAGGCACTGTTTTGTTCTGATCCACGGGACCACTTAGGATGTCGGCGTTTATCCAAACAGGGTAGGTCATCTGTAAAACAAGGGGAGTTATTAATATTTAACTTTTGCTTTTTTTTAGATTCTTCTATTATTCTTGGTGGAATTTATCCATTTTAATATATCCCCAAGTTTTGTAATTCCTATTTAAAATTCATGTTTAAATTGAAATTAACACAATCGCCCACAAACGATTTTAAAATGTATCTTGCGCCCACACCTTTAAAGATTTCCGAGAAGTATAAATGCAATTTGGTTGTGTATATTTATACCTATCGAAAAGTAGAAGAAATTTTTCAAATTGGAACATTCGTAAAAAAGTTATGCCCGATCAATGTTTTATATCTCCATCTACCTCGCACTCCTTTTAGCTGAGTAACGGGGCACCCGACTATATCGTTCTATCTTGATTTAAATCTTTTGCTAACTCATGAAAAAAAAATTAATTCTAGACTAAATCATGTTTTGCCAGTATCTTAAAAAAATGTAATTTCTTAACTCACGCTAGGAATATTTTTGTCCAGTATGTCCAGGGAGCCCTCGAAAACCTCGATGGACTTGAAATCGAGTTTGACGCCTTTTTCCAGTCCCTCGTGGTTCCGGTTGAATTCCATGATCTGATTCAGGAATTCCGATAGCGTGAGATCTGAGATGACTGCTGGAGGATGAGCCATGACGGGCAGATCCTCGCCCTCGCCATTCAGTTTGCCCAGAACAATATCCGCCTCAATAAAGTCGATGTTGGCTTTTAAAGGAGGATTTTTATAATATTTAATTCTATAGTTTTAGCGGCATTCTTACCTGATTCTGTGAGGACTTCGTCCAGCAACTGTTGACTGTTGACCGCATGTGCCCAGGTGATGGCGGTCAGGTTTGTGCCCCATACCCTAACCATATCCGAATCTTTCAGCAATAAATGCACGATCTGCGGATCGATTGGAGTTCTTTGCTCGACCACTTGGTACTGATAATTGCTCGCGTTCAGAGCAGCCCCATTGATTTTGGCCACGAGCACTGCGAGTGGGCGAATAATATGGTATTAATATTCCATAATTGAACAATGGGACGCACAGAGGGCATTATATGGGAGAATAGATAAGCCCATTGGCTTCCTTACCTTGCCTACTGCTGGCACGCAGGGCAAAGACAAAGCACTACAATATCAATTTGTTTACTTCTCTGTAGAAGTGTATGCGTGAATGGAGGGAAATTAATTCCAATTGTTATGATAATTTTTATGGAATGCGCTACGCTGTGATCTTAGTCCACTTTCACCGAATGCTGTAATGGTAATGCAACTGCACAACAATATTTTGCTTCATTCTGTCAGCGACTCCAAAGCGCAGACGCGGAGAGCAAACAGAAATGAGAATAACGAGAAATGAAGTCATCTTCTAAACGCCGAAGTTGATACACCCTAGAAGTTATTTCGAGAATGATTTTTTTATAACAACAGTTTAAAAAATTCAAGCAATTTTTTTATAAAGCGATTTATTAAGAAATACTGAGTTGTCTAAGAAAATTAAATTTTTTGATTTTAGGAATATTTAAAAAATCATCCTGAAACGATTAGACTTAGTCCTCATATATTAATATATATATTCACATATCTGCAAATCTGCTTAAAAAGGAACGATTAAAATAAAACATTAATCCTTTAAATTTACTGCATTCCCATATACATTTTATATAATTCCCCTGTGTAAGGGTATAATACCGACCGAGACAATGATGCTGATTAATTTAAATTAATTACCAAGTAGTAGGGACATCAGTAAAGCTAGATTTGTTGAACCCCCGGTTCCAGAGGAATCAGTGCACTTGCAAAACTTAAACAACATCTTGGAACCGCGGTTAGATAAGAACTAAATGGCTCGAACGTGCTATGTTTTTAGTTAGTCTTATCGATGGCTCTTGCTGATTTGATTAAACTTTGATTAAGCGTTGTAAATTGGTCTTGATAATTATTCCGCATATTTTAAAATCTAATCTTTTAAGTGGGAACATTATCCGCTTGACAATGGGGAAACTTTTTCTGAATTATTCAAATTACACTAGCTTCCAAAGTAAATAACTTTTTTTGAGTTTTAAGCGTTACATTTTTGTACTCTCTATCCTCTCGTAAAAAATGTTTTTCACATTATTCAATTAATTTTAAAACAGGCTGACCTGGGTTTTGACGCTCATAATGTAATTTCATTGACATCCCCCAAATTTTAAATGTTACGTTATAAAACACCATCTACAACTTTGAAAAAATCGAATTTTAAATTCGCAAAAATTCTTTAAGTCGATAAAAACAGCTGATTTGGTTATCGATTTCACAGAGTTTTAACTCTGTTAAGGCTAACAGACCATATGGTCTGTTATGCGCTGCAGAGCAGTTAAGCAAATTTCGGACTTTTAAATGAAAACGACCCTGTCTCTGTCGTTCGAACTGGTTCGACTCGACTGCTCTCTTAAATTTCCGCACTCTTTGGCGGGAATTTTAAATGTTTTAGCCAATGTTATTTCCGGGAAAGTATTCTATATTTGCACAAAACTTAACTTATGACAATCAATAAGATTTTTCGCACTAAAAAAGTGCTGTTAAGAACAAAAACAGCCAGGATAGGAAAAAAATGTAACCTTAAATTAATTTGTTTGGTGATTAATAAATTCAAAGCCTCGTGGCTCTGCGTAGCCCCAGAGTAATAAACATATGTTGCCCAAATGCAGCCATTCAATTTAGCTGAATCTCCAAAATACCAAAAATACAAAAATTTGTGGAATTTGAGGATTTTATGCATTCTACGTCCACTCTAGACGCCATAATTTTCTCCTTTTTCTGGAAGCTGCTCCCGAGTGCGGTTCATTCGCTCCGTTAAGTTAGTTATTTTAGAATCCGATCGCATCTATGTATATTTCCGCGAGTGAATTCTTTGGAGCTTTCCATTATCATTCCCAATATTGGTGGTAAGATAATTCCCCAGAAAAACAGTGACCAGCGACCACGTGCGAATTCTTGGAAATAATGGTAGTATTGAGAGTCCTACTGGATTTGTGTGTTTCATTAGCGTCAAACCACACGTCGCCCAGGGTCGCCAGATGAAAATTCAGCCCCTAAAAAATTCAGTTAATTTCGAACATGCACAATAAATTAGAAATATCTCAATATGACGTTGAAGAAATGATAGGATTGGAAAAATCTGTGTACTCGAAAGGAAAATCGTGTGTAGGAACAAGGATCAAGGGTCAAGCATCGACAAGTCGAATCAAGTTCGGACGAATATCTCACCGCTCAAGCTCAACCTTGACCGGGCTTGTCAACTTTTTCTTTAAGAAGACAATATTTTAATTCATTTTACTATTCCTATTCAGGTCATAAGGAGTCGTTTGACGTAAATGACGTTTAGTCTTAAGGACTATCACTAGCACTTGTATTCTATAGAAACCAAGAATCATATTATCGTATTTGCTGCATTAAATAAAGTTTAAGGTGAAGTAAGCTTTGAACTTCTAAGGGCACCTTAGAAAATGTAGCGCAGCTGTTGTTAAAGGGTGGCGTCTGATAAGATACAATATAAATTTTTAATATCTGACAACCCTGGTGTGGAGATCCCGAACTTGATGCGGAAATGGGCTCGAAATGCTTAACAGCGCGCCATCCGAAAAACTTAAGAGTGCCGTCCACTGCTCCCTTGGCGGGAAGCAAAGAGAATTTAAGCTCGAAATTCGGCGTACTTTCGAGTTCGAAATCGGCCGGCAGTGCTTCGAGTTTCCATCGCACCGAACACCATCGCATCGCACCGCATCGCATCGCGTATACGTTTTCTCGCTCTCAAACCGTTCGGACGTGTCGCTCTCCGTGCGAGGGTGTGTGAGTGGCGAATAAAAATATCGAGGAAAAAGCTCGCACGTGCGACGCTTGCAAAAAAAAGTAATAAGAAAGATATATATTTTGCGAAGAGAGGGCCCTGCAAGGCGGAATCCAAATAAATATTCAATAACGAGTGCGAAAATAATTTGCAAGCGCAAAAAAGATTTATAAATAGTGCATCAACAACAACAACAACAGCCTCAGCAGCACAATAAAAGAATTTGTCAGGCGGCGTTTGTTTTTGTTCTCCTTCTCGCTCTCTCTCTCTACCGCACTCGCTGTCTGCTCTCCTCTCGCCCTCTTCCGTCTCTGTCTGCCGGCCTTCGTCGCGTGTGTGCGTGTGTCTCCGCGTATCCGTGTGTGTGAGTGTTTGCAGCGCAAAGATAAAAAAGTTGAGAAATTGAGATATACGAAATGAAATACAAAAATTCAACTTAAGGAATTGCGCCGGGAGAAATTAATTTATGGCGAAAATTTAATAAGTGCAGGGCATAGAAAAAGTGCGCACAAGTTTAACCGAGCCGTCTAAAGCCGGCCGATATATATTTCTAAAAATACGACTGAAATAATATCGAAATATTCTAAACACGCGACAAAATAAAGAAAGAAAGAAAAATCCTGTGAGAGTGTCTGTGAGCTTAAATGCCGTCGGCAAAATGCTAAGTGCGAAATGCCACAAAATTAGTTAAACTAGCTGACGAAATCAAACAAAACGAATCAACAAATGTGCCAAATTGTCAAGTGAAGGAATCAGACAGATTAGCCTTTAAAATAATATAAAATCGCTTTGCAAGGGTATAAAAAACAAATAATTAAATAATTAATAACTAGATAAAAAGAAGGAAAATGTTGCAACCCTGAAGCAAACGAAACTATATCCTTAAATCGCTTCAAAATGGATTGCTAATGCAGACCGAACGATCGGAACTTGGTTATCTAAAGTATCGCCCAAAAATGACCGAATACGTGACGCCCATGATCAGCACCGTCTTGAAGAAATACCAGACGAGTGCCACGAAATCGCTCCAGGGACCGGGACACACCCTAACCTCCGCCGGTGTCCTCGATATTGCCACCAATGGAAGAAGTGACAGTCCTGGCTTGAATGGAAAATGCCAAGCGTCTTCGCCGGTGGTGGCTCTAATAAAAAAGGAAATACTCAGTTCGCCAGAGCCGCAGGAACTGCATCATGAATGTTCCTCGCGGGGCACGCCCCCCCAGATATATCCACCCGCCACGCCCCCACGGGAACTCTCACAACCGATTCTATCGGTAGCGGATTCCGGGTGTGGCGAGCTCTACGAGACGAAATTGGAGGGTAAAACCATTGGATGCTTTTCCGTTGGCGGGGAAATGAGACTCTGCCTGCCGCAGTTTCTCAACAATGTCCTCAACGATTTCTCGCTGGAACAGATCAACAGGATCTTCGATGAACTGGGCATATACTGCTCGCAGTGTACGCCCGATCAGCTGGTGGAATTTAAGGCCGCCAAGATCCTGCCATCGGATGTCAAGGCCAGTGGCCTGATCACCCGCACCGATGCGGAGCGACTTTGTGCGGCCCTACTCCATCGATCGGACCGGAATAGCTATGTCCCCATCGAGAGTTTGTCCAAGGGAGCCCTGAGTTTCCACGTTTATCACAAGTGCTTTGGCAAGTGCGAGGGCATCTGCACCCCCGACATGTACTCGTACCAGAAACCGACCTGCATCAAGTGCCTGGAGTGCGACGGTTGGTTCTCGCCACAGAAGTTCGTGGGTCATGTGCATCGGAAGTTCGAGAACCAGACTTGTCACTGGGGCTTCGACTCCCGCAACTGGCACGACTATCTTCATGTGGCGCTGGATGTGGAAAACCGTGAAAAGTACCAGATCATCCTCGATGAGCTGAAGGAGGTGGAACTGAAGGAGATGCACAAGCCGCAACGGGAATTGGATCACAGAAAAACAAAGGTGAGCTAAAAGTTATTTAAGGTTTTTTTTCAAATTACTCTAAAAATAATGACATTCTATTTATTTATAATTTTCCCCTTCTCTCGATCTATTTTCTGCGCTACAAATAGGATTTTTCGTTTCCCTTTCGTTATAATTGAGCCCAATCGACAAGTGTTATTATTGGAACTATAATATTCACCTTGTTGGGCAGGTCAACAATTTCCCAGAACGAAGGGGATTATTATTAACTTGATAATCTCCCCGTCTTTCGTTCGCTCAATTATTACTCTCCCCCATTTTTATGAAGAACACACGTTTCCCCAGCCCTGATCTTAATTTTAATTATACTTATACCCATGCATATGAACGAACGCCCCACGCCACCAGAACAACAAATGCGATACAAATACGAAAAAATTTCAACGGTGGCTACTGCGGCTCCATATTTGGATGGCGACGACGACTTCCATTCACATTCACATTCGATCTTCTTTAACGACACTTTGTGTTTGCTGTTAAAAAGACATAAAAAGTACAAAAACGCAACGCACAGAATAATGCAAAAAGAAATATACATGTAATATAAAAACAAAATTTCACCGCGAGCCATTTATAATGAATTCATAATAATTATAATTTCAATGCAGCTGCAATTTATGGCGCTGGTTTGGTGGTCGGGGTGTAAAACATTTTTTTTCGGCTAGGCCATCTTTTTTCTGATTATTTATTTAAACTACTTAATTTTATGCTTAAACAGCGCTCGCGAAATATTTTCACGCAAAAAAAACAATAAATAATACATTTTTCCGCTGCAGAATTTTTGTCGTTTATTTTTTTTTTGGCAATACATAGTTGTTGTTTAAATTGTTGTAGAGCTGCCACTGCATTTTGTGGTTGCCAAAGCGTCTGCCGCATTTCGGCATGTTTGCCGCCGCGACAGCGCAGCGACGAATGGAGCTTATTTTTAGCTTTTCGCTCAATTTATTTTGCCCCGTCTGCGCCTTGTTTGAAGCCTGCGGACAAAAGGCTTTTGATTTTGTTGTCGCCGTGCGGGATATGAATACCCTGTAAAGGGTGGGGTGTCAAAAAAATCCGTAACAACCAAATTTCAACAAAAATTCAATCTTAGAGTCAAAAAAAAATCGTTTGAAAATCGATTTAAAAAACCAAAACCACTTTTTCGAAAATTTTTTTGATGGTTCTGAAACCAACGGTCATTAAAAGACTTCTGTAAAGAATTCAAAAGCTGAATTTATAAAAAGTTTAATTTCTGTGTTTTTGTTGAATTGGGTATAATTTGTAATTTGTGTAAGGAAGATATATTCGCCAAATTCCTTAAGAAGTACATCTTATGTCCTCTTTTGCAGTCAAGGGTATTTTAGGTTTCGAAACCTCTTCTTATATTTATTTTTATTCCGCGCTTAAAGTTGTGTGTGTGCCATGAAAATCCGCTTCGACCAGCTTCAATGTTAAATATTCAGCAAATAATAATAATGAGCCAGTGCGAGCGAGACAGGCGAGGGTGCGAGCGGAATGGGCTGATAAGCGGGGGGTTGGGGAGGGAGCTGTGCGAGGGGGTAGCAACAAAAATAAATCGCAAACCGGTTGCCAACATTGTCTGCTGTGAAGTCTCTGTACTTAGCTCGGGGTTTTCGTTTTGGTTTTGGTCTGGGCCCTCGTCTCGTTATGGGATGTGGATGTGTTTTCCGTCTGGCAAAGTCGGATCCAATCGGATCGGTTGTATTGGATCGTATCTGAGCAGAGCCCATGGAGGGATTCCATCGGGAGCGTGAACGGGAATGGAAGTGGAAGTGGAAACTGAAGTCAAAGTCGCAGATACAACAAAACAAACGGCTTGCGGCACATTTTGTTGCGCAAAAAAAGAATAAATTCAAAGGGGGATTATAAAAAAAAGAACACAATTTTTGGTAAAGAAAAAAAACTTCCAAGGGATTAACTGAAAATGAAAAAAATTATACACATAAAAAATATTTTAATGTAAGAAAGTACGCAAAAGCAGTCAAATAAAGTTTAAAAGTGGAAATGGCTTAGCATAATTGGTAAATCTAACTAAACTAATATATTTTGTCAAATTCGACTGTCCCTCTGTACTCGCTTATATAAAAACTGTTGCCAAAGTCCCATTTTGGACTTTGTCATTGAGTCCAAGAATTCAAATTTCGAGTCGCAAATTTTTGGAATTTCATGTTTTGAAATCAAGCTTATTTGTTTGTTATGGCGGCGCCAACAGGTTTATGTTTTTTTCTGTTCGTAACTGTTTTGTTATTTTTCTGCTTTGATTTTTTCGGTTTCGTGTTGCTCGCCTATCGCTCATAAAATTTTTAAATTTATGCTAATCTCTTTTATTATACTTTTTGTGTTGGCCGTTGTCATTCATCGTGTTTTTCTGGTTGTTCGAATACGAAATCAAACGGAATCCATTGCACAGCACGTTTCTAAACAGAAAGAAAATAAAAATGTGGGTAAAAGCTCCTAGTAATTTCTTGGTTGTCTTATCAATGTTTTTGGGCCCATTTCTGATAAGCTTTGTGCTCTGTTGGCCACGTTTTTCGCAAAATCCGAAATCGAGTCAGGGCTTCGTTTATTTTTTCCATCTAGCTATGATTAAGTTGAGTTCACAGTTGATAAGAAACGGTTAAAGTTTATGCGTTCATGTCGCCGCCTCACTTTTACGAGGCGTATTAATATTTTATGAACGCGTATACGCCATGTGGGGCCATCATGAAATTCAAATAAAATTTACTTAATTTGCTGGGGATTCGAAATTGGAATACCAAACTGATCTGTCTGTTATGTCATCTGCTAATTGATAAATCATGGAGAATGTGTTGCGAAAAATGGAAAAATCTGGAATGAATAGCATAGTGCGAAGTTTAATTATCAAAAGGAGGTTATACAAGATCATTTATATAATTAATCATGAGAACTATGCGATACTTAAAATGCAAAATTAAAATGTACTACAAGTTTATATTAATTACTATACAAGTTTTTAGTGTTATGCTTAATAAAATGTATTTTTTAATACTTATAATAGTTCTCTTTCATCTAGTTTTTCACCTAAGATGAGATCTTAACTAATTGCATCTTAGATAAGCCCAACAAAAAGCAGCGACTTAACCTGATGGATCTGTCTTATCTCACTCCCTGTACAATATATTACCCCGCAGGGTTTTCGCATTTTCCAGTCCTCTGTGTCTCAGTTTTCCTTCCTCTTCTACTTTTCCCTCTTTTCCACTGCCAGCTGTCAGTTGGCGATTTGATAAGCGCGATAAGCAAAGAGCGATCTCTTTCAGTGCCTCCCAGCCGGACAGCCCTGCCCCATTTCCCCCTTTTCCCCGCCCTCAGTTAGCAATATATTGGACTGTGGGCAGGTCTCCAGACCGAACTTTTCCCAACCCACCCAACTTGTCATGTGATGTTCGCTTGTTCTTTCGCTCTGCTGATCTTTTCTGTTCTCCTTGCTGTTTTTCATTCTTTATATGTGTTTTTTTTGCTATATTATTATTAGCAAAAACTTAAGACACACGACAAGGCAAGCGAAGAGAAACAATACAGTGGTTTCTGGGAAAGAAATATAATTAAAAAAATAATTTTCAATAATATAAAAATAAAAAATTGGAACATTAATATCTCGCCTAAAAAGAGTCATCTTGAAGTGTTCAAATAATGCAGTTAAAACAAATTCCGTAAAATACTACTTGAAATTGAATAGTCTCGAATTAAAAGCTTACCAAGATTTCTCTGAGTAAAAAATCAAGACTGTCGCCCTTTTTTCAGTTTAACTTTGGATTTCTGCAGTTTTTCAAAGACCACTGTACATGTTTTACCATACTGCAGGAGGTGCGGCCTTCTAAATGCGATTTGGGATGAGGAGGATGTTTAGAGGGGGCGGTGGTGATTCGTTAGTGGGGAAGGTGTATTCTCCGCTCTGTACATCGTTTTGCTTTTTTGCATACATTTATCGGCGCCGTTCTAGCTCTCCTTGTTGTTGTTCAAAGAGTTGTTGCCTTGGTTGTTTTCCTTGTAGTTCTAGTGTTCGGTGCCTGGGACAGGTGTGTGCCGCCATCGGCTGTCCCCCTCTAAAGTCTTCTTTTTTATAGACAACCTTTTTTATGCGTTGTCTATCGCTGATCTTACATCTAAATAGGCTGACGTCGTCGTCGCTTGTTATTGCAGTTCCGTTGGTGGGCTAAAGAAGAAACCCCTTTCCGTCTAACCTCCCTTAACCCATTCCACCCAACAACCTGATTTCCAGACCCGTCTCGAGATCTCCTCCCGCCTTTTGCCCCCTTTTCGGTATCTCTACCACTTAACAAAATCATTCTCATGTTTATTTTAATTAAAGCTCACATATTTAATTTGATCTTTCGATTTCGTTATTGTTGTTGCTTTCCCTAGTCAATCATTTGATTTGAGCGATGTTTTGCATATTTATTCGCTCGGGAGTGAGCAAAAAATTAGTGAAAATATTTAAATAGCCCAAACGTGTTTAAACAATTTATTTTGCCTCGGAACTAAACAAAAAATTGGTGAGAGATTGAGGATAAATGTGTGATGAGTAGGTGAAAATGGTTGTGTAAATGTTTTTGCGTGCCTTTCATCTAAATCATTTCTGAAGTATATTAGTTGAAGGAAGTTTTAAATTAAAAAAAAATGTTCAGTAATTAAACTTTTTGTAACTCAAAAATATTTAAAAAACTGAAAAATATATATAAAAAAATAAATAAATTTTATTAAAAAACTTTTATAGCCTTTCAAAATTTAAGAGTATTTAATATTTTTAATTTTAAGGAATAATTACAGATAATGACACAACAGAGAATTCTTGGGCTCACAATTTGCATTCTAAATGTTTTTTACGCATTATTCCAACCAGCCATTGACCTCGCTCTGATCTCGTTCCCATTGTTAATTGCTGTTGTCGAATAGGCTTAGCGAATTCCAAAGCAAACGTATTTATATATTCATTTATATAATATTCAATAATTTTTCAG